CAAATCAAGGAAATAAATTGGCCTTAGAGGAAAACCTAGTGCATTACCTGATCCTGTAACACGTGTTCCGCTGTCACGTTGGTTCTGTCGACACCCTTGATGCCGAAGACGACAAACACGAGAGCAGAGATCTGCAGCATGGGGCGCGGGGCGGGGTTACAGTCCACCTGGGTGCAGGGGTCAAAGTCCTGGTCTACCGACGGCTGGGTCGGGTGGACCGACACCGTCCCGTCACTGTCACTGCGCGCTGGAGGGAACACGGCAGAGGTTAGGGACAGTGGACTGAGAACAATACAATACAGGTACAAACCTGTCCTTGGTGCTGAACACCATTCACACAAATGCGTTATTGGCGTACAGTTAGAAATAGGTACAACTGTGTCTATGGTATCAATCCTTGGTACAGAAAACTATCCACACAAACCTGTTCAGGATAATGAACACAATCTACATAACTAAGCTGTCTTTGGTGCTGAACACCATCCACACACAAGTACATGTACCTGTGCTTAGTGCTGAAAATCATCCAAACTTTGATACACACATCTGTCCTTGGTGCTGAACACCATCCATGCATACATGCACATGCCTGTCCTTGGTGCTGAACACCATCCACACACACATACACACATATCTGTCCTTGGTGCTGACCACCATCCACACATAAATACACCTATTTGTCCTTGGTGATGAACACAATCCACACAAAGATATTTTCACCTGTCCTTGGTGCTGAACACCATCCATGCATAGATACTTTCACCTGTCCTTGTGCTAAACACCATCCACACATATGCACATTCCTGTCCTTGGTGCTGAACGCTGTCTACACATATGCACATACCAGTCCTTGGTGCTGAACAACAGCCACATAAAGCTGTCCATGGTACCAGCTCCATCTACACAGACATACACGTCTAACCCTACCCTGACACATGTCCATACCTTTACAAGTCTCCCAGCTGTTGTCTCGGTGGATGTCCAGACTGTAGCGGCAGGAGAACACGTTCAGCTCACACATGCTCTTGTACACGATCCCGTCCGACCCGCACACCTTGTCGCTCTCCGTGGCGGCGCCGTCTGGGCAGTGGGGACATAGGCACTGTGGCTTCCCGCTGCGGATCACACAGCGACCACCACCGTAGCACCTCAGGGAGCAACCTAGGAGTGGGACAAGAAATATTTGTCACTCCCTTAATAGTTTCATCAGGTCGGTAAGTCGCTGAGTAAAGAGACTCTTTTTACACAACCAAGCCGATGTTTTGGTGACCGTCCGTCACCTTCCTCAGGGCAATTCTGACTGGTTCATATTGCACTGCAGCACAGGTGTTGCTGCTGTATACAGTTCCCTGTAACCACACATATGTGTAGATATGGAAATATTGTACGTTTGGGAATGCATCTATAGCAGCGACACCTGTGCTGCAGTGCAATGTGAACCAGTCAGAATTGCCCTGAGGAAGGTGACAGACGGTCACTAAAACGTCAGCTGAATAAAAGACTTGGTTGCGTAAAAAAGTCTCTTTACTCAAATATTTGTCACTGATCTTCATAGCACGTTGGCAGAATGTACTGAACCAGCCCTGTACTTCATGGTTCAGGACTGTATATACATGTAGATATTGGCATCTCTTGCTAAATGAGTTATAAAAAGATAAATGGTCGAAAAGAAAAAAAACAGTTAACTGATGATGAAAGCATGCAGTTAAAACCTGTAAATGAAGTGACTGATGCATTAGTAAATAGATTTAACATGTAGAACAAAAAGAAAAAGAAAAAAAGTTATTTCCACCAGGACATTTATAAGTTAATATAAGTTAATAACACAACCTGAGCTGTTTCCAAAATTTTCTTCATGTAAAATTGCCATGCAACACCTCAATAAGTAGTTGTCAATCAAACGATGGATGATTAACCCATTTGCAGCCATAACCAACACAACATTTGGGTGCGATGGTGGAGCCACAGCAGGCAAAAGGTTAAGATGATAAAATAAATGAATAATTGACATGAAGGAGAGACAGACTCTTATGACACCCACATATATAACGTCTCCTGTATGGGACACAACTGTAGCCGGCCGCAGCACACTCAGCAGAACAGCCTGGAAAATAGGGCACACACCGGAAACCAGGAGGGTCAGAGGTCACAATCACAAGGTCAAAGGACAAAGCAAGATCAAAGGCCATGTCCGAGGTCAAGCAGTTGCTTCAGAAGTGGGCATCAAGCAATATAGAATCCACTTTTAAGGTTTTAGATGTAGAATTTCAGTAAAAGATTTATTGTCCTGACTTGCTGCAAGCAATAATACACTATTTATGGCCTATAATATGGATGTATACTGAAGTATCAAACAGTCCAGTAAAAAAGAAGTACAAAAAATGTTGGCACACTATGGTGCCACGTCTTACCATGACTATCGTCTGCACTCCTTTTCACAGTGGTACTTCTATGAGTGGTAGTAGTAGTGGTGGTAGTTGTAGGTAGGGTGGTGGTGGGTATGGGAGGAGACATGGACCGATTTGAGATGAAGCCTGCAGTACCAACAGAAGGCGTGACATGCTGCTGGCCCGTCTGTCTGGTTTCTGTGAATGGCTTCTGTGGTCCGTGGATGGGGGCTGGGTTATCTGGGGACATGGCCTTGGTGACCTGTGGGGAAAAATATCAATTCACTCCTTCATGTTACAGTTGTCAGTTCAATTTGAAAAAAACAGGACAAAAGAAACAATCTGTGAAAGTTGAAAATTTAATCACTCTCAAACAAAATTTCAACCAGAAATGCCAGGATTCCATAGACTACTAAGAAAAGCACACGCATACACTTATAGCATGTAGAAGGAAACCAATTGTCTGTGTGTGTGTGTGTGTGCGTGTGTGTGTGTGCGTGTGTGTGTGTGTGTACAAATGTATAGCAGGAATACATGTATACATGAAGAATGTAGAAGAAACCAACAAGGTCCAAGAAAGTCAATTGCCTAGTTTTAAATTCTAACATGGAGTGTTTCTCACCTTGTCTGACGTGCTGTCCACCACCTTGTTCTTATCCTTAAAGAGCCCGGAGCAGTCTGTACAGCCGAGCGCCTCGGTGAAGTTGTTCTTCATGTTGAGGAGACGCTGGAGGTTGGTGTTGGGCTGGAACAGCTCGGGAGGGTGGGAGGCAGGGGTCAGCTGGGTCACCAGGACCAGGGAACCGGCCAGCAGCGCCATGTAAACAACTGGACACAACAAAAACAACAACATCTTGTCAGGCTTCCGAAAATTCTGCACAAACAATGGTGCTATTGTCACGGAAATGAAAAGAAACCTACAGTGGGTGTCACTGGAAGACAGACAAAAAATGTCCAGAATATATGTATGATGTACAAAATGACTAATAAACTGGTGGGTGTACCAATTACTAAGTACATTACAATGTACCTAATACCAGCTCAGAAAAGAACAAGAAATAGTCATACATTCAAGTACCAGAGATTGAACTTGTGTGGGGAGATCACCCAAGTAATGAGAGAGAGGTGTTCAAAAACTCATATTTTTCTTGAACTATCATACAGAAAAACTTGCTACCAGCAAGTACAGTAAGAGCATCATCATTAGATAGTTTCAAACAATGTTTAGAGTTAGATGTTAGGGCACAGTCTTACCTACGATGGCCCAACGAGCCTTAACAACAGGCACTGCCACATAGTGGTACATGAGACCCTGTAGCCGGACAGACAGATGACACCCCTCCTGTTTAATGGAATCTGCCGGCTCCTCCCCCTCTGGCTGCAGAATGGGTAAGTCCGCCATGTCCATGTCCAGGAGCATTACGTCATCATCAGACTGAGCATCTGTGAAGGGTAACACAAAGCAATGATCTTCAATTGAAGCATGATACTTTTTCAAGAGTAGCTAGTAGTTATACTAATATGTGGCTTTGCTACAGACAAGCATTTTTCAGCCAAGCATCACTACTTTTTTCAAAAGGTGTGTTGGCTTTTTGATTAGAATGGTTGAGGCGTGCACATGTCAATATAGTATGTAAATCCTACAGATGAAAGCAAACTGTCTTGGTAAAGGTTAGATTGCAGCCTGAGATATACATACATGAGGACTGCTGGCTTTATACCAGAAATGACATATACATACATGTACCTGTAGGGTTCAAAATATATTTTTTTTCACATATATTGGCCACTGGGCACCCTAAGCCAAAAACTGGCATCTCCAACAAGTCTTGCACAAAAAACATAACGCGCGTGTGACAAGAGTGCAAGAGAAGGTATTTCGAAACCTGACTCACATCAAGTTCATCAAGGATTGTGACAAACAAACACACCTAAGTTATAAGGGAATACAATTCTACCAATGTCTATACCTTCTTCCAGTCCGATCTCCTCCATACTCAGCATGGGGATGTCATCCTCACTGTCCTCACGGCTGCTCCTTTGCAGAGGATCATGGGAAGACAGGAAGCACTCCACATCTGGAGGCAGCTGTAGGCTGTCCGCAGCTGCACAGCTGCACTTACAGCACCTGGAAGCAGCCAAATCATCAGGCCAAAAGCACCTGTACCTCACTTTCTGACAGGGTTTGAAATACATTTTTGAGTGTACTTTTTCAGCTATGACAACTTCTTAGCAACTCTGATTGTCCAGTGCTACCTGCTATTCAAAAAGTGAATATGCTTAAAATCATCTCACCTCACAGTGATATCCTACTTGATATTTGCATTATACCCTATGAAAAAGGACATGCAGACTCCCATACACATGAATACATTTTACTGAGTGGCTTGCTGACTAATAAGGCTCGTCATATATGTATAAACTATGGTTGTGCAGTGCAGACATACCCTGTGCAACATGCAGCCTCACACGCTGAGAAGAGCCTGTGCCAGAAGTTGAGGGTGGGGGGCATGACTAGCACCACCATCAACCAACAACTGCTCACAATCAGCGACATGAACAGTCCAAAATCATGCACAGCCGGGATCTAGACAGGAAAATAGCAAATATGTTCACCATACAGTCAATGTGATGGAAATGCATACATTCTATTAAAACATTTTTGTTTGTTAGTGTGTGTGAGAATAGAAATTTTGTGCAGCTCCCAGTGTTTAAATATAACACAGTAGAAACAATACGAGCATACATTCCACATGTGTGTTAACTTAAAATCTTGGTTCAAATTAAGTCCTTTGCAGGTCCTAATTCTTAATTCTTACTCAAACACATTGATATATTTATGGTGACAGGAGTCTAAATCCCTCCTGCTATAGCACTGCAACAGGTCATTGACCTTATTTGTTTGGAGAAGAGAAGGAAGAAACTGAGCAAAAACAATATGTTTTTCTTCTGCAAGGGTAAATATAATGAACAGATAAAAAGATTGTAAGCATCAAACATACATGTAGCAAGATTGCTAGTAAAATATGGTAAAGATGTAACAAAGTTCTTTTTTGAAATTCTGCATCATTGTCAGGATTAGGTGTCAGACAACCGTTCCTTGGACTCCATGGAACTTCATGAAGTTCAGCACATTTTGCCCTCCATGTGTACCTCTGAGAGGCACCATCTGGAGAGGGTCAGTATTTCATAAGTACATTCTGACAGAGAGACTGTCAGGAAGCTGGGAACTGTGCCAGACAACTAGTTTTCACACTGATACATGAGTGTGTGCTCTGAATTTTGTTGAAATTCACGGATGTTCATTTGGTTGGGGTTCAATGTCCTGAAGCCTTCCATAAGATATCCAGTCTGCTGTGATAAGAACCAGGGGACCAGACTATTTTATTGTCAGAATTACAATCTACATCCAGATCATTCAACCACCTGTTTCTTCAACTGACACTCATGCTCATCCATGCATTCATATGACTTAAACAAATTATCGGACCAGTGTCAGGGCAGAGACCCTTTTCTATAGGCTTAGAATGGCCTTCAAAAACCAGCAGAGATGACATTTTGGGTGCCTTTTTAAGTCTTTATAATGTCCTTTATTGTGACGGTCACAGATGAACTTGCATTCAAGAAGCTACACTCCTTGAAAGTTGTATGTACTTCATGCCCGTAGCCAGGATTTTTGCTGGGGGGGTTCGTTTTGCTCCGAACCGGACCAACGAGCGCCGAAGGCGCGAGGCCGAGCGCCGAAGGCGCGAGTTTGCTAGGGGGGTCCGGGGGCATGCTCCCCCGGAAAATTTTGAAAATTCAGCCTTCTGAAACGGCATTTCCTTCGTTTTTCAGAGGGTTTCAAATGAAAAATCAGAGTCACTCACATGAATGTTTCAGACTGTATTTTATTGGAACAAAAAAGATAGATATCCGTTTAGCTGAGAGGCCGTCCAGTTGGAAAGGCCGTACCGCGAAAATTAATGAAGCCATGTGACACTCGAGGGGGCGGGGCATTTATGCAAATATTTTCCATTGAAATACACACGTCTTGCATGAGGTCAAAAATGAGGTCGCATGGATACTTGTTGTGTTTTAGCCAACAAAAGGGCAACTGCCTTAACTATGTTCCCGTTTTGTCTTTCAGATTTTAGTCGCCAAATCATGCTGTGGGCTGCAGGCCGACTGCAGTTCGACCCGCACAACATATTTTGCCTTGCGTTTGTTAACAGTTTGGACGTTCATGGTTCTAGTTCTGGTTCTGGAATATTTGTTGTCATGTTTTTCACGTTACGTCGATAACATTTCTACTAACATGTTATTGTTCCTGTTATGGTGCGAAAATCGAGAAATAATAGAGAACCCACCACACGTTTTCAAACCTAACAAATAACTCGGTTTATTAGAAAAAAAATCGATGCGGGAAAACTTACGACCAAGAAGGCTTCCTTGGAAGATCACAACAAAAGGCATCGGCTGTTACATCGGCACTCATCACATAGCTACTCACTGTTAAGAAACCTCAAAATCGATACATTGAACAATTCCATCATCAAATAAGGCGTTAAGTCATTTTGCCATACGTAAAGACATACGATTTTGGACAAGGTAAGTAAACAAAAACTCGGCGCAACAATATTCCAAGATGGCGGACCATGTGGCAGGCGATCCCGACATGCACAGCGACGGTAGGTCTTGGGATTACGTCATACAAGTGATTACGCAATAGACTAGTAGTGAGTCCAGTGACTCCATCTATAGTAAAATAACAGGAAAAACACGCACGTAACGTTACATAGAAAATTGAAACTACCTTTACATGAGGTTAGAAAATAACTCGGCTAGTTAAAATGAAGGTTCGATAAAAATACAATCGTAATGTTGTCACATACAGACCTTAGTCTAGTGACACTAGTATCTACTAGTATGAAAAAATATCAAGAAAAACACACACATAACGTTACATAGAAAAAATAAAACTACCTTTACATAAGGTTAAAAAGTAACTCGGCTGATTAAAATGAAGGTTCGATGAAATACAATCATAGTGTTGTCACATTACATACTGAAGTGAAAACTGATGAATTCTAAATCAAAGTTCGGATGTTCAATTATAGCATATAGTGTTGTAGTGTTCAATGAGTGGGACTACTCTATTTCAGGAGGCTGTCCAGTTCTAATCTGCGGGGGTGCAGTTGCGCGAAGCAATCGACTACTCTGTCCAGATTTATGTCCTTGTCATAATGGATGTGCATGAGAGCCAGGTTGCTCAGCCGCTGCTTCCCCATTGAGGCTCGCATGTAGTTGTTCAGCCTCCGTAAGGCACTAGCGCTCCGCTCACATTCACACGATGTTACGGGAAGCGTGCACGCGATCTTCAGTAGAACGCTGATGTTGGGGAACATGGTGTTGTCGCAGCGCTTGATTGCCTCTGCGGGAGACGCTGGTCGCGACTCTGGCGGGTCGGACAGAAAGTGGTTCTTCCACCGATAGAGTTCCATCGGGAACAGCTCGGGTGATGGCAAATCGTCCTCGTACTGGCCAACTGCGTCCTCCAGACAGACGTCTCTGGTGCACAAGATTGACGGGACAAGTCCGATCAGTGATGTGGCGATCTTCGCAGAGGCGGCAAACCGATCATTCAGTGATGTGATTATGTGGTCGAGGAAAGGGATGACCGTGTTTCGCTGGTAGTATTGCTGGGGGGTTGCTGCCTGGGCATTCGCCCGGTGCTGTTGGCGAGAGGCGATGCGGGGCATCTCCGCCGCACTGCCAACCTTTTCGGCCATCCGTACACTGTGCTGATAGATGTGATCGAATCCCTTCTCTACACCTTCCCGCTCGCTCCTGTAGATGTCTTGGATTTCTGCCACCATCTCATGGGCTTCAACGACGTCGACTGCCCGTCCCTGTAGCTTGACCGTGATGCCCGCTAGGTGTGAGAGGTAGTGGTACACAATCAGAAACACCACGATAAAATCGAAGGACGTGATGCTTTTGAGGATTTGATGAGCAGCACTTTTGTTCCCGGTGTCCCAGTCTGCGAACCTCTCCCCGTACTTGTCGAGGTGGCGACTGTACGCGATCATCTCCCAGTGTTTCTACCAGGAAGACATACGCCTGGTAAAAATGCTGAAACGCACCGTGACGCTCTGCCCAGCGGGTTTTGCAGAGGTCCAGGAGAGGCTTCCTCTTGGCGTCGTCTCCATTGTTGTGCTTGATCACCATCTCTAGGGCACCGCTTCTCTTTGGACTGTTCAGGAAGAACCGACAGCAGTCTTGCAGGCGGTCAATTACATTCCGTATCTGGGGCAAGGCGCACGATTTACTGATGACCAGGTTGAGGCAGTGCCCGTTGCAATGGACATACGTCGCACGAGGAGCCACCTGTTTTATCCGTGCCTGCACACCTGCAGATTGTGATGACATGTTGCTGGCACCGTCATACCCCTGTCCTCTCATGTTACCGACAGGGATACCATTCTCCCTCAGGAATGTCAGTATAGCCTCCGCAATACTTTCTCCTGTGATTCTGTCTACTTTAAGGAAGGTGAGAAACTCTTCCCTGATGTCTCTGTTTCTGTCCACAAATCTTGCACAGATCGCTAGATGCTCAACGTTGTGAGAGGTCACTTCATCTGCCAAAATGGTGTAGAAAGCTGCCGCGTTGATCTCTTCCAAAATCCCGTTCAAGATCATGTGTTTTCCCATGACCTCGATCAACTCATTCTGTGTCTGAGGGGACAGGCATGTGGCACTTCTCATGGCAGGTGCTTGCAAATGATCTTGCAGTACTCCATCCGTCACTGCCATCAACTTGAGCAAGGCCAGGAAGTTTCCAGGGTTGCCGGGAGACTCCAAGTCTTCCTTGTCACCTCGTAACGCGATGCACTGTCTGCCACAGAACAGTACTGCTCTGGCGATGGACTTCAGGACCTCCCGATTCTTTTGGATGTTAGCGGCCTTTCGTGCGTCGATTTGGGCAGTAATACTAGTGTGCGGTCGTTCTACTGTTTGTCTCAGTAAAGAAGCCTTTTCCATTGCTGTGTTGTGGTATGTACACTTAAACTCGTGTTCCCGGACCTTCTCACTTTTTTGTTCCACACTCTGAAGGGCTTGGTCACAAACTTGCCCTTTGACGGATCAGCAGCAAAGAGCACACATGGCATGCAAAAGATACCGTCCACCTTTTCGCTATATACCATCCACTTGTGAAGTCCGAGCCACTCGTATCGGAAACAGCGCTGACAGCCGCCAACAAATTGAGTTGGAAATACTTTGTCTTCGGGTGGTTTGCTGTGATGGCACAGGAGGTGGTATTTCTGGGCAGTTGTTAGGGCCTGTACGTTATCACAAAAGTCCTTACTTGTCTTCGAACGGAGGTAGATCTCCCCAATGTCGACAATGTTGCTGCTGCTGACGTCATCATGAGAACTGACCGTACCACTCACCTCGGACGGATCGCTACTTGCAGACTGAGAGAGTGGTACTTCGCAGGTTGAGGTTGACGGTTGAGGCAGTGAGCTGAGCCCGGAGTCCGAAGTTGATGCCTGAGCTTCCGATGGCTGATCCGAAAGCTGCTGCGTCTTCCGAGTTTTGTTCGGAAGGAAGCTGTCCAGCTTATGGCACTTAGCTGCCGCCCGTTTCTTTTCTCGCTCCTTCTGCTCCCGTCGCCCCATGAGGATGCCACAATATATTATCAATACATATTATATAGAAGGACGCGACTGACGAAACCACGGGTTGATCACAGAGAGGGATAAAAAAAAGAGAGTTTAAGCCGTGACACTTTTCGACGCGTCACCGTGCTTGTGACACATGTGAGTTCGGATTCTGCAACTCGGGACTGTACAATATCAATATCTAGTGGGGGAGGCTTGTCATCCGATCGTGTGATTATTCTTTCTCCTGGGTGGCACAAGAAAATTTAAAAAAATTCAAAACGATCCCGAATATTATCAAGTTAAATAGAAAGAGTTTTTATCATTCGCAAAAACACAGAACGGTTGTTTTAGGGCTAATTTTCGATGGGTTCCCCCCGTGACAACCAAATGTCGCGCACTGTCCCAAAGCCTGTTATGACGTGTTTCGTTTTGACTTTGCAAGGAGGCCGACAAGTGTCTCTGATCTAACCGCCAATTCGCGCCTCCGCGTAACAACATATGCACGGTGGCGCCGTGCTGTCATCAGAGGCGGCATTTACATTATTAGCGACATCCCGTCACAGGCTAGATTTAAATAATTATTTGTTTCCTACAGTTTGGCATATCACCGTTAAAGCGGTAAGAATTAAAATCTACTGTACGGTACGTAAAAGTATGTTTGCTTTTAGTAGTAATGACTACGCCTCCCTCAGGATGTACACCAACACGTAAAGATACAGACGGACAATGAATACAGGCGGTCAACATAAAGTCCCCTTGCCCGACCGAATCTGCTTTGAGATTATGTCATCTCGTCCACAGGCCGCCAAGTGAGACTTCCGGGCGCCATTGGTAATTTACCATAGCAACAGCCAGGCGACCGGCAGAGTGTCGCGTGTCGCGTGCCGGGGGTGTGACAAACAGGGGCCCACCAGTTTACATTTTGACATGTGCCGCGGCCGGGTCCGCCTTTTTGACGCGTGCCGCGCTCCGCCCCCGGACCGGTCCTTTACCAGTACCGTATAATGCGGACTCAGGAAGAACCATGGATCATTTTTGGAATGTAAACAACAGGTTTCTGAATAATTTAATGATTGAGAGAGCAGTTTTCCTACGATAACAGGTCCGCTGGTGATACAAATCGGACCGACAAAGAAAAAAAAATGGACAGTGAAAAAAAAAATGGACCGCAAAAAGCGGACCTTCGGTCGCGTGGGGGGGTTCGTCCGAACCCCCCGAACCCCCCCTGGCTACGGGCATGTGTACCTGTGAGAACATGTTAGCAGCGAAGGCTGATGCTGTGGTGAAGGAGGTGAAGAAGGTGGCTTTTCCCGCGGTCTTCACCGTGTGCGCCATTCTCCGCAGGGGGTCCTTCAGGTGTGCAGCCTGACGGAAGGTGTTGATGAAGACAAACACATCGTCCACCCCTGTACAACAATAACACAATTATTAATGACAAGGGCTAAAGATTACAATTATTATCTAGGTTAGGTGTAACAAATCATTTGGTGTAATGTAGCCAGCTGCCGCTGCGTCGCATGCCTGCGAAGCTGGTGTGTTATGTGGAAGGATCATTCATCATCCTCACCTATCCCAATGATGACGAATGCGGAGACTCCGTTCAGGATGCCGAGAGCCTTGATCTGAAACACGACCCTATACAGGAAGAAGGCCACCATGAAGCTGAGGATGATGCTGCACATCCCAAACAGCGTCAGCCAACCGGAGAAGGATGTCAGCACGAAGACGAGCGCGCAGATGAGACAGACGCTGATCAGTGCCAGCTTCACGTCGCTCCAGAACGTGGTCAGGACCTCGTAGTCGAAGATGGCGGGACCTCCATACAGCACGCCAACTTCCCTGGAGTACGAGAAATAAACTTATCAAATACCACATAATGATTGTACATGGCATCTACTGGTATATAAAAACAAACATGCTACAAGACAGAAGGACTATGTAACAGTGGGGGGTTTATAAGTGCTATACCAACTGATCCGTCTCATGGGTCTAGACCTTTCAGCCGAATGGTTAGAGTATCGGGTTATGAACTGGTGCCCGGCTTTGGCATGGGTTCGATCCCTGGCCCAAGACCAAGAGTGTCTTTTTGTTTCTACTCGCCTCTTGTTTCAGTGGTTTCCACACCAGGAGTCAAACCCGGGCCTTGGTGGTGAGAGCGCCAAATCCTAACCACCATACCACACACTATTACATTTATCTGCCTATCTGATTATGAGAACATAATTTACTTTACAACCATGGATGGAATTTCTAGTATTTAATGGTAGATAGAATCAAGCAAATACAAGAGGTTCCGTACAAAAAAAGTATAAGTAAAAGTATTATATCTTTACAATGTACATTGACTACATGTGTGTTTATCACCTGTGTGATGTGGGAGTGATCATGAACAGTCAAATTTATGGTGAGACCAAAATGGTCTACTCTAGGTTGTGTGTTTGCTCAAAGTTCCAATCACTTCCAAGCAACTTTATATGGTTTCATGCAAGCTTTTAGGTGAATTGAGATTCATGCTGCCACATTAAACTAATTTTACTGTCTCCTCTCTAAGACTAAAAATTAAACGCTACAAATTTGAATTTTCTAAAAAAAGCAAGCCAAACATGCAGGTCTTTGCTGTAATATTATCCCCTCTCAGACACTGATGACCCTTGGGCAAAATCCTTATCTAGGAATGCTGGAACAAAAGTAGCTCTACAAGCATCACTAAGAGCTGACCAGCTTTGAAAATGGTCATAGAATGACTTTCCAGCTCACAAATGAAGAATGAAATCAGAGTCAACTAGTTAGGAGAGGGTCTGAGAGGGGCACTTGATGACAAAGGGTTGGCATTTCTTCAAAGGCTGTTGTTTTTGGAGCTCTTAAAGTGAGACTAACAACAACACTGGAGTAGTGGACAGGTAAACGCAAGGTAGGTAAACAGGTTGGCCCTACAGTAAACATCTTCTGTCACATCAAAGAAAAGACAATTGACAAACATTTAAAGGTAAAATAAACTGAGGAACATAAATGTACAGTGTGAGGGTTATCTAGCTTTTTAGCTATTTTGTAAATTTGCTGAAAGGATGGACACAGAAGGATTTGAGTTAAGATAAGAATGTGCAAATAATTGTTCTTCTGTAGTTAATTTTTATCTTTCAAATTCTATGTGCAATTCCATACAAACTATTCTTCTGCATAATGAACTTTCACTGAATAAGAAATCATTTAACATGAGTATCGCCTTGAAAAACTGCTGTCCAAAATAGTCTTGTATCTCTGTCAAAAGTTGCCTGTGGGCCAAACCTGTGAGCACAGAACTCAGGGAGCTAAGTCACAGAGTATAGTGTGGCTTCTTAAGTTTGAACCTTGGCAACTTTTCAAACCCCACAGCACAGAACAAGTCCTGTTGTCTGCAGACATACAGTACAACTGACAGTGCCAAATGTGTTAAGTGCTACGGGCTTGTAAGATTTAAACCTCTTGGACTTAATCCAGACATCTGAAACTAATAACGGTTCTAAGGGGTAACCTACATGTATGGGATTGCAAAGAAAATACTTCTTGGTTAGGGTTTTTTCTTTTTCTTTTGTTTCTGCCTCACTTCTTTTTACGATGTACTTTAATTTGGAAACAATGTTTGGTATTTATTTTTGCACCTTATAGTATAGAAGTCAATACCAACAAGAGATTTAGACGTGTGATTTCATGAAATCCATCTTACAGAAAAGATTTGACCTTATTTTGTGATCCTGATGAAACTTTTCATGGTGAAACGCTTGCCTTTGCGAAAATACCATGAACTGAAATAAGCCTACTTAAACTATCATCATTAAATTTCATCATTTCTGTGTTCTGAAGTGACTTAAACACTTCAAAGAAGCCACGTGACTAGTGTCACTGGGTCAGTCTCCTGAAGAAGACCAGAGTGACTGATAGAAATCTCCAGGTGAGTCAATAATTCTTTTGTGTTGGAACAAAAGTTTTAACTACAAACACCTTTCACGGATACTTGCTAAAACAGAAGCCAGGCTGCAGTCAGGCTTGTACCTCAGGTCAATGTCTGGGAAGAGACTGGTACCTTATCTATATAGTATTCTATATCTACTTATATCTGGATATGTACTTACTTGGTTGAAACGGAGTCCAGGACATCAATGTACGTGATGACCCAGTCCTTGAACTGTTGGTCCTGTTCCTCCTTCCTGTCAGACTTACTGCGGAAACCCTTCAGCGGTGCTCCAAATGTTACCTCGCTCCTCAGGATCTGACTCTTCAGGTTCTTCTCATCCATACTCTCATCTACAAACCTGTGCAATGAAAGGGAAAAGAAGTGATCTCGATCCAGTTTTAGCTCACTGAAGAGTTAATCTCCCACTGGTTAGGACAGAGAAGACCGACGCTATGTACAGTTACTACAAAATGTATATTATTTACAGGACTGGCTCATTGTACTGGGGAAATTCTCCTAGCTCTTTTCGTAACATCATGTTGAGTACTGAGGGTGCGACAATCCTAAGCTAGGGGCATGCTTCCCCAGGAAAATTTTGAAATGTTGACCCTCTAAAATGCTATTTCCTGCATTTCCTGGGCAATTTTGTAGTAGACTAAGCTTAATTTGATGACATCTCTTTCCATATCTTTACACGCTGATTTTTGTCCATCAAAGATGACTAAAATTTTTTTCAGTCATGACCAGTAAAATTCTGTCAAATTATGGAAAGATGGACGCTAGCTATAAGAACACTGCAGTAAACTATTAATGTACAGCTCTCACCAGTAAAACGTAGGGTGAGTGAGCGCCAGCATCAGACTCCCCTTCACACTAGCCAGGTTCTCCCCCAGTCCGTCATACCACACCTTCCCGTCTCGCTTGGTGGGGAAGAAGTATGTGAGGAGTGAGTTGGGCGGGGCACAGTTGTCGTACTTCTCCAGAGACTTGTCCTCCCGGATGGAGACCGGCTTCCAGCAGAAGTCCTGGAAGTGGGTGTGCGTCATGACCTTCTGTTCGACCTTGTGGATTGTCTTGAGACGCTCGGGGGTGAAGATGTTCAGGTCCTCCTGAAGAGTAGGGAAAAGTAGGAAAAAGCTTTTACTATCATGAAAGTTCATCTGTGTTGGTAGGTACATGTTTAGAGTTAAAACTTTTGTTCCAACACAAGAGCATTGTTCTTACCGAGAGCTTTTAACCAGTCACCCTGGTCTTCCTCTGTCACCTGACCTCAAACTTCAGAAAAAGCCATGTGACAGGTCTCAATGTCTGACTGAGGAAGACCAGAGTAACTACTAGTAGTTGAAAGCTCTAGGTGAGAGCAACTCTATTGTGTTGGAACAAATGTTTTAACTCCAAATATGAAAAATATTTCCATCCAACTATCTGGTCCTTTTCTAGTCGATATGATGAAAAGATGAACTAAATGCTCCGACTCTTTCTCTGCCTGGCTCCATCACAAAATAGAGGACTTTCTGAAGTGTCATATTTTGCCATGATTATTTTCCTCAGTAGAAATGACGTAATAAATTATCAGTCCTTCCCTGAAATGCTACAAATCACAATTCAACAAAGGACAAACTTTTTGCAACCTGCACAATCTTTTCTTCCCATTGTTAAGAACTGATGATCTTTGAAAACTGATGATTTGGGAGAAAATCTACTGGTAAGATTCAACCTACTGTTCTTACCTTGTCCTCCCCTTGTGCCACATAGATAATTTGCATCCTCCATTTGGGCTGCGTTTGTGTGTATGCAGTGATGTAAGTATTCCCTGTCCTGTCTCCTGGAGAAAAGTTCCTCTTGATTCTGGACAAAAGACCTTGGTCTTCCTTTTCCCTCTTTCCATCAAGTATTTTTCTAAAAGTTTCCTTGTGTTGCTCATAATATCGCTCGCCAGCCGACCTTTTCCTAGCTCGCTGCTTGTTTCCTTGAGTTAGAGATGATGTCTTGAATAGCCCTTGCATGAGATCTACAAAATGTGACGTTCCACGCTTTGCTACTCTTTTTGTTTGGCGGTGCGACTCTGTTCTTTGCAGCCTCTGTAGTCTCAAAGAATCCACGAAATCTGGATTCTGTATAGATTCTAAGTCATTTTTGCTGAGAAATCTGTTTGCTGCGAGCAGTTCCTCCTCTTGGTCAGCGTCCCGCCTCCTTCTCCCCGAAGACCGTGCGTTCTTGTACTCCTTCAGCGCTGCGATCAGCGAATCCTCCCGTTCCGAGGTAATGTGGTTGGGGATTTGGAATGCATTGAGAGAGATGTCGATCTCCGGTTTCTCGTACGCCAAGAGCGCTACGCAAAGTAGGGACCCGGGGATTACAAAACTGACAACTAAAACCAGGGCGGACGACCACACCTTGGTGAAACACAGCGCTATAAACCTCCAGATGCAAGACAGTTCCTCAGAGTCGTCGGTGTTGAGTGGGTTGAGAGACTGGTAGGTGACATTGCTGTGGTTGCGGTGGCTCCTCTCGGACTCGTGAGCGGAGTCCATGACGACCGTGTCTGAGAGAGGCTGCTGCAGGGCGAACAGGGTCTCGTCTAAGGAAGCCATCCTGCACTCAGCCTAGCTATCAGGTCTTCATCTAAACACTGGGAAAAACAAAAACAGATTTTAGAAGTTTATATACACAGGATATGTAAGTGTTGCTTTTACCAAATGCCTGGCGATACACAATTCATACAATAGTTAATTAGATCTATTTGCTAAGTTAGCTATAGAACTGTATCTGCCCTCAGTACAGTACCCGACCAAGGCTTTTTTCTGCGAAAGAATTGTCAATGAGATATGCTATGGATATAGTTTTCACTTATTTATACCTCAGAGATTTGGCTACTCAAAAATTTCCTAGGAAATACATGTATTTGACCTTCAAGTTCAAGTTTGCAGCTACATTTGTACATGTACATGTATTAGATCTAGTTTTGGGCTAGTATAGAACCCATACAAAAAGAAGGATACAGACAGTTTCACTGTTGTTTATGCTACAACATGCCAACACTTGCAGTCTATGGCTTTTGTCTCAAAAGTAACCTGGCTAATGCTGCCATGGCAACATATGTTAACCATAGTACCGAGGTCCCTGAGAACAAGTGGTCTTCAGTCTGTGGTCTTAACAAAAGAGACTTTGAGCAGGATACATGTATATATATTGGATTTCATTTTAAAAATCATGAAAGTGCTAATGCTGACAATCATAGTAACACAATAGTGGGTTCGCAATACATGTACATGACTGAAAACAGAAACTCGAAAACACAGTAAAAATGTAAAATGTTTAGTACAGTTACAACACTGTATCATGTACATAGTTCTTCAAGTCAGTATTTAATAAATAGATCTGCTGTTAGAGCTTTAAGAAAAACAGAGATAATGCCCTGCTTAAAACCTGTTAATCTGCTGCACTCTGTGGGTAATCAACATTAGTGACATGCTTCAAACAGGCCTGTCAATATAATCAATCTTATCTATCTTCTCAGAGTAATCACACAAGAGACTGATACAGCCTAGAGTGCAAATACCTTTATCTCTAGCCCCTTCTGTTATCTGAGAGTGGGCAAACACTTCAAATTGTTTCAACAGTGGTAGATTTAAAAACAATACCAATGAAAGGCCATTCAATCCAGTTGTATTGTCTAGTTGAACAATTGCAGCCTAAGACAGTATTAGTTTTTTGCACAATACCACCAAAAAATGTATTTTTGTAGGAGGGAAGACTTTGGTTACATGCATATCTGAACTAGAAGAATGTCTTAGTTTTACACTACTGGTGGCTGACCTTATAATTAAATACTCGGAAATAAAACAAAGATTTAAACATACTATATCATTAATTATTGTACAGCCTCAATATATCCAAGAAGGTCTCTTTAATCTTCTTGATATATCATTAACATTTTGGACTGTCAAATATGCACTACTGCTAAACTTAACCTGTATACATGACACAAATATCAAATGTCAGTTCTTACGCAATTGTTTCCTAACAAAGAACCCAACCCTCCCCCAGTGGGGGTTACGGACTGTAAATGGATCCTACGATTTACCTGTTTGCCTGCAGGCCAGGTCTGACTAGCTCCAGGGCATGAATGCCAACATTGTTCTTCTGTATATGGGTCTACACAGGTAACAAAAGAATGCCTGGTACTAGTACCAGGGCAGGGAACATTAGCAAGAATGCAGCAGCCTATATCTCTGTGGGACATTCTACATTCACTCCAACAATAGCACTATTGAGACCTCTGTAGCTGTAACTAGCCTCTACCAGGCTTCAGAAGCAGCTGGAAAGAGTAGAAATTGGGCAAATATATTAATTTGAAATAGATACTGCCAGGGGTAAAGTTGTACAGCAGTTGTACTCCTTTAGTGGAGCAACTCCACTGTCTATTTGGTCAATTCCTACTGTTTCTACTAGCTGCTTCTGAATTATTGTGTCACTGACGAAAGGTAGTGGATGCTACCTGAAACGTCTGACTCTGACCATTTCCAAAATCATATACAGTTGCTTCAGTAACTGTACATGTTTTGGGTGCTTCTGAATTAGCATGGTAGAGGCAAGTTGTAACCTGTAATTGTGGCTTTACCCTTTAATTTCGTTACAAGGGAGAAGTGAGAGTGGTGCATTCTTAATTACAATTTGGCAACTGGGCTGGAACAAACGACCTTACAGTACACCTCTGTGACTGAGCCGGATAAAACAAGATCAGACTTTGGCTGTAATTTGTCACGAAGGGCTGTGTTATTAATTAGGTTGGCTTCTGGATACATTATTTAAAGGTGTGGACCTGTAAAATATAGATATGTAGCATATAGACATTATATCTCTGGTGTTTTCAAATGCTTTTGTTCAACAAATTAGTCCATTAATTAATATTCTGTTACGTATCTTGGTCATATACTAGTACCTTAATGGTTTTACAATGTAAACATTACAAATACCTTTCTCACCTGTTACGTTCTGTGGCCCTGTAACTTTCTAGACAGACGCAGTACTATGAATAATTTATGTAGCAGGCACACAGGGTACTAAATCATAACATTACACACCTAAGCAAGCATACACAAACAAGAAAATACCTCAAACATTTTTGTCACTGTTGGAAAGGATGTTAAGAATTGTACATCTTAATTTTTGTCAACACTTACCAATTCTTATAACACAAGCAGGGTATATTTTAAGAACCTTTCCATAAAGCAAACATCTGTGAGTGGTACGTGTGAGAAACTGACATAACAAAATAAAAACACCCACAGACAATCTGTATATATAATCCACTTAAGACGTAACAGTCTTGTTGTAACAATTGCATCTGGAGTGGAAAGCCTTCCCTAAAAATGCAATTCAATTACCCGACACCTAAACTCTGGGAGAAACATACATACTATATATGTAACATAGCTTACCTGTGACTGTCTGATTCAGGTAAGGTTACAACATGTAAGATCTCAGTAGAACAAAGGGCACCTGAACAAACAGCAGAAACTGCCAAATTGCTAAAACTTCAGTACGTAAGTAAGTACGTATACCTGTCAGTCTCTAGATGTGATCAGACTGGGACAGATTAAAATGTCTGCACGCATACAGCTTCTCTGGAGAAACTGACTTCTTGGAAAAATCAAGCTTCAATTCAATTGGCTTCTACCCTGAACCCTGTCCTGGCTTCCTGAAGTTCCTGGAGTCATGCCAGAACTGTCTTCAAGTTCAAGTCCAGGTCCTGACTGCAGCTGGTTTTCTGGATGTACAGTTTCTGAGGAGAAGGCATTCCTAAGCTAACGCATCTACTGGCATACCTTGAATAGACCTTGGACCTTCCCACTACTGCTTTTGTATTATTGGTTGGCAAAACATGTGCAATCATCCACAGTCTTGTGGCATATTTCACTAGAAATACAACATTTGGGGAATTTTATCTGTCAGTAGTTGCTTTCATAGAATTTGTCATGGTGGAAAGAGACTTCTTACAATTCGTGAGAGTTGTTTCATTTCAAGACCCAAGACCTAAACAAAAGACTGTTACAGTAAAATTCCAAATCCTGTATTTGAATTTTCAAAAGCCGTGCACCTGAAACGTGTTTGAATTATTCTGTGGAACTTTTGGAAGCCCGTGTGATAACCGTTAATAGAACTGTGTGTGATATACATATGGCTAGTTACAAAATGTATCACACAGGCCAGAACACCCCTTACATAATTATCAAACATTACTGTGGCCCAGTTATCACATAAATGTATGTGCTACCTGAAGAGTTGTGAGCCTGACTCAGCAGTCACCAGTGCTAACCTTCAGGACCGCAGCATAACAAGACTGTGGTTAAAGCTCAGCCAATTTGTTGTTTTGCCCAGCCCATGTCAGATAAATTTTTGATGAGGAGACCAGTGACTGTCATTTTTTACATTTCTATACATCTCCATGCATTATGTATAACATTAGATCATAAATCCTATGACCCTGACCTGCCAAATACTTTTTACGGGACAAACCATGACATATTATGTGGAGTACATCCTCATGATTGCTTGCTTGCTTTTTTTAACAATAAAAAACAAATCATCTACAGTAACTTAAAAGTCTGTCTTCTTACAAATGAAAATGTCAGAAAAAGAATGAAACGTATATGTACTTGTTTATGTCAAAAAGGCAATTGTCTAATTGCAGTACCTGAAATGTACATTGTATATGTGTTGCAGTATGTACCATATTATACACTAAAACTACAGTCAAATTTCCAATTAGCAAGCTAACAGGTGAACCCCCTGCCTGGTACAGTCACATTAAACATGATTTATGTGACCTGACTGACCACTTGGTGTTCTGTTGTTGTAATGATTAGGTACAATAGACCCCTTGGGACAGGTTAGGTGTCAGATCAGGAGTCCAGCACAACCTGTTCAAGCTTCTATAACCTCCTGGGAAATGTCTTACTGTGACTATTGAATTCTATATACACTTGGGGGCTAATTACACTGGCCAATGTTACTCACATACGGAAGACTGGTCATAGGATAGAAGAAATTGTAGTGTGAGCCCAGTGTTTTGCCATGTAGCTTCTAAAATCATATTCACCTACTTGCTGAAATATCCCTCTTTTCCTACTTAAATCTCTACCATTTCGATTCCTGGTATGTATGTCTAGAAAGCTTCTTTACAGAATTATGCTGAAGCAGGTTGACTCTTTTGCCCTTCTTTTTTCATCTCACCTAAATTGGAACTTTAAGTGATGTACGTTTATTCTTTCTAGGTGAATAACCTTAAAGAACTAACATTATTGACTGCATGAAAAATTGGTGTGGCATTTCTTTCTTACAGTCAGTTTGTTGTTCATGCATCTGTGCTGTCAATCAATTTTGAACTCATTCACACGTTCTTGGAAAAAAGCCATGGTGCAAGAAAGGTGCCAGCCTGGCCAGCCTAGGTGCAGCTGACACTATCTGGATACACAAGTTAGTTACATGTTTCATGTGTATTGTAAGCAGGGCTCAAAATGGTGCATGTGCACCTTAGTGCACCCAAATTTGGAGCTGTGCACCCAATTTTTTCTGTGGGTGCACCCAAATATTTTCGTAGGTTTACGTATGTAAAGATGTGAAATGTCAGTGTTCGAAATACCTGTCTGCAGTCTGCAATTTGCAGATAGATTTTCAAGATTGCAGAAGAAAAATTTATACAATCTGCAATTTTGCAGAAGGAAAAATAGGCTCCAGATTCAATAGTTTTCAATTTAGCAAACTAGAACTCTCTGGCCCCAAGGACAGACAACCTGTTTTGAAGCAACAGGAGCTTCTTCACTAATTTGCATCATCCTTGTCTTGACTTGTCTATCTTTTGTTTCCCTTTGGACTTACAAAAATTTGTCTTCACTAATTTGCATATGAATCAGTAGTGAATCAATAGTTCGTGCTTATAAACCTACTCTTAGTGTCACTGACAAAAGGTAGTAGTCTGACTGTTTCAGGTAGCACCAAAATAATATCGAGTTTCTTAAGAGTTAAGTACTGTTTTTTGGTGTGTCTTTTATGAGTATGTTGTGTGGAAGGATGATATGTGGGTGTGATTACTAGGTACATTTACAAGTAAGGTATGATTTTAGTTGTAGTAGCTTGTAGTGGGAGACAGCGGTGAAAGACCAGTGAAGATACCAGGAAATGATAAATTTTCTGTGGAGAAGGATCTATAAAGTTTGAAATTAAAAAGAGTGATAGATTAAACTTAAAAGAATTCCAGTAATGCTACAGATATACAAAGCTATATATGATGTAAAAAAGACATTAATGGTTTGAGAAGGTTGTAGTATGGAGGCTTGTGTATTTGCAGAAAGTATTTTCAAATTGCAGAACAAAATTTTGACTCTTCTGCAATATTGCAGAGCGCTGAAAAAAAGTATTTCGACCACTGAATGTATAGTAGTATACCGCAAGCGTCAGAAAAATAATAAAATCATGGTTATAGTACATGTAATTAAGTGCTTTAATGCTAACATAATACATAACTTTATCTTATATAGTGCACCCAAAAAAAATTTTGTGCACCCAGGTTGGGTGCACCAGTGCACCTATTCCCAAAAATTTCGAGCTCTGGTAGCTGGACAGTCTGTACATTGGATTGTAATTCATCCGTACAAAAATGAAGTGAACTTTCCCATTTACAATGATGTAAATGCCAGCAGACTTGCACAATAAATTTTACCACACCCTTGCAACTACATGTAATAATGCAGCAGTCATCAATTTCAACATGAAAGACTTCTTTAAAGGCATTCAATGCAATTTTGCATTGGGCACCTTTCAGTGGGCTACTCATTATTCTACAAGTACAAGCAGTTAAGTCCAGAGGGACTGTAATCACCTCACAGTGTCAAGGCTGCCGCTCATCAGGGACAAGCCTTGAGCTGAGACTGCAATTTAGCTCATTAGATCAGATTTGCCAAGGAATCTGTCTTGTTCAGTCTTGTCCTAGTACAGTACAGTGACTGTAAAGTTTGAAATTTTTTGACTGTAAAGTTTGAATGATTTTGAGTTTGCAGGTTTTGGAGGCTGTGCTCCCAAATACCACATTATCACAGCACAAATAGAAATAGTTGAAGGTCCCTCAGACATACATGTAACATTGGAACGGATGTAAACAACATTTTGAGCATAGTCCAAACAAACATGCAGAGAATAGGATGTCCTTGCGGTGCAACGACCTTTGCTGGCAACATCACAAGGTCATTTCATCTGTTACTATGGTAACGGTTCTGCCTGCCTCTCACTAACTGCCAGTGCTACCAGTAACTATCTAGCCAGCTGTGACAGCTTTGCTTTAATGGAGTGACCATTCTAAATGGCTGCATATTGGGCAACTTAGGCCTAGGAAAATCAATGATGTGTTTCTGGTTACTGTCCTAAAATGGATTTTCTTATTACCGGTAAGTTTTTTCATCTTACCTCTCTACCATTAATTCATGACTCTGAGAATATCTCTTCAAATCTTCAAATCTAAAACATTGTGGAAACCTCTGCTTCCCTCCTACTGAGAAATAAAGCCATGGCAAAAGTTTCAAAACTTACAGTAATTCCTTCACAAGTTTAGTCTATACCAGGCTGCTTAAGCTGCTGAGTGAAACTGGCCAACGAGGGTGAAGAACTTGCCATAAGAGTTAACTGGCCATAGAGTCACATGTTTGCAACATATGATAAGTAAAATCCTTGATATGACCAGCTATTCCTCAGGCAAATTATTTGCCCATTATTTATCTGCTCTATTTCCTTAGAAGACAGCCCCACATGCACGTGCTTGCCTTCTTGTTTTGTCTTTTTTTCTTGTATACGGTTGAAGATATGATATGCTATTGTGCGAGTCACATGTTGGCAGCACATGATCAGCTATTCCTTAGGCAAATTATTTGCGTTAATTTGTTATCATTGTTTATCCGCTCTATTTCCTCAGAAGACAGGCCTATGCACGTGCTTGCCTTATTGTTTTTTTTGTGTGTATACAGATGAAGATTATAATGCTATTGTGCATGTCACGTGTTGGCAACATATGACCAGCTATAGCTATCCTCAGGCAAATTATTTGCCCTAATTTGTTGTTATTGTTTATCCGCTCTAGTTCCTCCGAAGATAGTCCCACGTGCTTGCCTTCTTGTTCTCCTCCTTTGTGTTCTGTATCTTAAACACCTTGTGCTCTTCTCTTGTTGCTTTTTTTTTTTCAATTAATCGGCTTCACTTGTGTGGTAAATTTTTACTATATATCTTTCCAGCAACCCAAGGAGTCTGGTGGCGACTACACAAAGGGCTCGAGCCTTAATTTTCGACGATCTACCGTATGTTGCATTGGCGTACAAATTATATACCTCTACTGAAATGAATATTATTCTATCATTCACACATCAGGATAGTGTATATCTTCACATGCAGTGGTAGCTAGTACGGAGTTTCTGCCCTCCGACTCTTGTGGCGGTCGCCCGGAGCCTAGTTTCCAGTGTGTCGGGCACCCCGTGGTACTGATGTCGTACTTTCTTTGTGCTCTTTAAAACCCTTAAGAAACACTGGCTGGGCGCCGTACCAAAGAACGGTTCGCATTTGCGTCGTCACTGGCCCTTCAGATAGTATATACACAATCTATCAGGCTAGGCATTGTGTCAATCCATGGGAAAGTGATCGAAGAATCCCTCGCATGGAACGTGACTTGCATTATGGTAGCACATAGAAGAAAGACGACATCCCCGGACTAACTGGCAAACCAGGCCCCCGACACACACGTATAAATTGGAAACAGCTGAGATTTACCTTCAAGAAACACGCGATTACGATCTACATATTTCTTGAGACAGAGAAAATATCGAGAAATACTCACAGAAATGGCGGTGATCGCTGTAAATTGTGGTTGGAATGGCTAAGCAACCTTCAGTTTTGCACTTCTTTCCGCCATGTTTGTTTATTATGGTCACGTGACGAGCTTCTGCAATCCCTTTCGGACGATACCAAGTTGGCCTGTCGGGGCGGGGACAAGATACACAGAAATACAACTAGCATGTGAAGGTTTGGAAAAACGCAGAAAACCTCAGAAACTGGGGAAGAAAAACTCTCTGAGCCCAGCTTTTTCATCATCAACTGTTTGGAAATGACCTCAAAGTCAAAACTTTTTTGGACACCAATCGACAATCTGAGTATCCATGCATGGCTGATGCTAAAAATGGTTGATTCCTCTAGTTACTAGTATTTCATCAGTCAAAATCTAAGTACGTTTGTCCTCATAAGACCGTATGTTAGTGCTTACCTTTGGGTCTTTGACATATCATAGATGCTTTTCAAGCTTTCCTGAGGTAGTACTCCAGTGCCGAAATGGCTCTCTTTGGCAAGGAAAGTGGTCACTTAGTGACCTACTGGTCTTTCACAGCTACTCTTAGACACACAGGAGTTTACCTGTACTTCTCATGTGCTCCTACTCTCTGTGCCATCTAAGGAAAAGACAATAGTAGTCAACTTCGCCAAGTAGCCAACCTCGAGAACATCAGTCAACCACAGCATGTACATGTCCTACCTATGGTTGGGGAGTTTGTGTTCGAGAGACCATTTTCAGCCATGTGCGACAAGGGTTTAACCCATTCATCTATGGCAGGAAAACACTAACACACACACATGCAAACACATGCACAGGCACACAAACTGCATCAGGCACATCATTAAATGCCAATTTGGGTACCTTGAATCCCTTCTGCAAAGGTAAATCAGACATAAAAGAACACAACGAAGGCACAAAGCTCAATTGTCTTGCAGCACATTTTATAACCCTCATAGTAACTGCATTTTTTTTACAGTCAATAACATCACTTCTCACTCCTTGCATTTGTAATGTCTCAGTACATTATTACGACTTATAACAGTTCTGCTCTCTCAGAAATGTTTTGTTAAAAATAACAGTTGAGGTGATGACCGAGCCTGTACCCTGTACAGCGCCCATACTGACACGTACTTGCCCTATAACATGGCTACAAAAGGACGGCAAGCACACTCTTCCCACTTGTTTCACTGTCCCAATAGTAAAACCAACCCGGCACGGATACCATGCAACAACGGATGAGAACATTAGACGCAGCAGGGGCATAGGCGTCTTTCAGAGAGCCTGTTTCATTTCCACATCATTGCACATGCACATGTGGAACATCTGACTATTGTATTGTGGTACACAAGGTATGTTTATAACAATACATCATGGGTTATTCTAAAATGTCAGCTGACAACAGCATCAGTCTATGGAGACTACCTGTGTTATGGAAAGTCCTAATGTTATGAAGTCTGTGTACTTGCAAGAGGAACCTATAACATGTCACATGTGGCTAAAGGTTTCTTCATGCAAAAAACTGTACACATCGAACTGATCGAGTCCTTAGTTAGAGTGTGAAGGAAGACTAATGTTTTCAGAGTTTCACTTTTTTGACAGCTGTAGTTCACCTTCGAGGAATCGATACGAAGTACTTTGGTTTACAACTGAACGCAACTTGAATGCTACTAATACACTACTATTAAAGAAACATTCAACTCATAAATTTGCGACGTAACTTTTGAATCAACACAACAACATAACATACAATATGATCAAATTTACATATCAATTTACAAAGAATATACATGGTCTAAACTCATATACTTAGATACAATATTACAATTCACAACTGAGAAAATTATGATGTGGCTGACATTCTGGGTAACTCTTGCTGAATGTATGTGCCTTCTTGCACATGACTAGCAACAGACAGGGCAGCCCTGAAATGTTTACTAGGAAACTTACTGTAATCATATCAAAGTCTCTGTACCCAGCCATGCAACACTTCTTTCATCCCTTCTCTGCAAGGCACCATTGCAAAGAAGAGTTACCTCATCCAAATATAAATACAATTGAACTGTTGTTGCAGTCTTGCATCGTTCTCCATCCTTCTTTTGTTCTCTTTTCTTGTCCGTCAATTTTTCAGACGATTTGACAGATTGTACTTTTCATTACCATTGGGTGGCAAGTCTTGCAAGAAAAACATACACATCATGTGCAGCAACTTCAAGCCTGCATTCATCTTAACACTGGGAAATCCTAGCTGAACAAAACGGAAAAATCCTTTAATACTAGTATTGGTTTAAATCTAACCACAAAAGACAAGCTCGCAGTCTTGTATTCCACATAACAGTTAAAAACTTCCGTAGATAACACAACATGCAAGGTTGAACATGGCACTCTTTGCAGTATTCCTATCTGTGTACCCTGTACATGTGTGCTGGCTACCTCACGCCACGTTACATCCATGTTCACACTGTTAACCGAACTTGACATTCCCGTAGTTGTAAACATGACAATACCGTTTAGACTGACTGTAGGCTAGTTCTTCATACAGCAGCTAGTGCCTAAACTGTGACAACGGCCATCTCACTGTTGCCACTGTTCACATGTGCGTTTTGTAAACTCAATAAAATTGAAAACTTTTCCTACGATTATGAAACTCCTGCTCCAACAAGGATGAGTGCTCACAAAGGTTGACTAGAGCTGACAGTTTTTTGTTTTCATATAGAGGATCACAAGAACTGCTCTAAGAATCTAGGACTCCAGTTCTACTGGCTCAAGCTGAAATTTGTTTATCCTGCGAAAGGTTTTTGCGCCTGCTCCCCCTGTCCGGTATTTACAAGTCGTCCACGGTTTCGATCTCGCCGCGGTTGATGATATCCGTGCTCGGGTTGATGGAGAAGCCGAGGATACTCGGGTCGATAGGTTGCATCCGCTGTTTCTTCTTCTTTCCCTTCATCTTGGGATCACCGTTATCCAGCACCTGGGAAGACCACATGTTGTGGATCTGAATGTGCACACAAAGTTTGGAGAGAAGGGGTAATGCAAGTCCATGCAGCATATGCAGAGTTAGTTTTTTCTTTACAAACAAAAAAAAAAGAAGAAAAAAGTGTAAGGAAACGGCATCAAAAGACAGTTACAAAACAATGCTCATCTAGAGATGCGTATTAAATTGTACTTCGTTATTTTTGCAGAGATAGCTGATGCTATCTGCAACAGAAGGGTGTGCACGGGAAAATTATAGGTGCATCTCAAATTCAACGCAAACCATGCACCACAACACCATGCACAGAAAACTCTTGCATGACTCTGTGTAAAAAAAAAAATGTCAAAATTCGAGTCTAAGAACAGAAGTCTAAGAGAAGTGGGAAAGATGTTGAAAATCCTTGACCAAAACTTTGTTATTTCAGAGCAAAAAAAATTCCAAGGGCTACAAAGAGAGAGTTTTGCCATGGAGGCAGTTATGCAGCGGAGGGAGCATACCCAACCCCAACGTATACGTGTTGGGACGGCATATACTCCCTCTTCGTAACTGGTGTAAAAATTGTGTATCAGGGCTCCTCCAAAGAATTTAAGGATAACATTGCAGCCCCCTCCCCAAAGTCTTTCATTTCTTCAGTCAAACAATAAGGCCGGATTTTCCTGACCTCAGAGAGCTAAGAGAGAATGAGGTTCTCCTGAGACGTCTTATTTACCTGCTGTACAGTCATGCCACCTGGGCGCTGCTGGATTGGCTGCTGGGTTGGGGCTGGCACTAATGGAGTGGAAGTAGGTGGACCTTGGTGAGGCCAAGGCATTTCCTGGTGGGTAGCAGAGAAGCCAAAGGTCAACACAACATACAGGAAAGCTTCATGTGGCAAAACATAGGACTGAGATATTCAGGGCTCTCCCTGAGAAATGGAGACAGGTGGACCCTGGTGAGGCCAAGGCACTTCCTGGTCAACCCAACATATACATTTGTAGGCTCCATGCAACAAAATCTACTCAGATCTCTCCGGAAGGAATCAAGAAAGGTTGACCTCAGTGAGGCCGAGGTATTTCATGGTGGGTAGCGGGAAAGACAAAGTCAACACAACATGCAGAGATATGTATGCCTGACAGTATTAGGGCTCTCTTTCTAAGCAACCCAAAAAATGCTGCTGCAGCAACTTGTTGCAACTCAGCATCACAGAGGGCCTGCAAGCCCTTTTTCGTAAGGCGTAATCAGGCCGTTTTAGACTTCGTAATTCGTAGGCAGCCTCCGCAAAAATCAACGTAATTCGTAATTGGACATTAGCCGCAAATCGTAAAGTCGTAATCAGCTCTGAGACTTTAACGTAATTCGTAATAGGCGGCGAAAATTTTGCGTAATTCGTAATCACTACCCCCCCTTACAGGCCCTCATCACAGTGTCAATTTTTTGGAATTCTGCTTTAAGTTCATTAATTTTTGCCATGACCCAAGTTTCCTAGGAACTTCAGCGTCAATGCTGAATGAGTAGTCACAGTTGCGGTTTGGTCTTTCTGTCGGTTACAAGATGGATGTCATCCCCACCTGTTTTCTCTTTGCACGTCTCTCCAGGAACTGTTTGGCAAATTCTTTGGCCTCTCTGGTCTCACCCAAATAGGACTTGATATAGTCGTGGACCTACCAGGACAGAAACATTTCAACTTCCTTATAAATGAAGATTTTTAGTTATCTATTTATTCAAGAACATCTGTCTCCAATTAACAGATCTTATAAAAATTTTTTTGACTCAGGGAACCTCTATGGAACATACACCAGTATATTCAAGCAAGTATATAAGGAATGTTGATTGCATTTATGACAGAAAGAAACACCTTAGTTTATAATAATGAATAATAATAAATATATACACTCAAAAATTGCTTAGTTACATGTAGGTTATATTTCAATACTCAAAAACTTAAATTAATTAAGTATGGAAACGACATTCCTCTAACGAAACATTGTGTAAGTCTAGACTTTTAAAGAAAGTTGGGTTACTTCTATCAGCTTAAATTTCTTGCTATGTCCTGAAGTGTTGCATTCTTACCTCATAAGGAGACTCCACATCTTTAAGGAAATTTACAAATGTAGGCACTGCAACAAGAAGGTAGGAAAACATGATGTTCACTATAGCACCCAGGATACTATCAGATCTAAACAGTCAACTACAAATGTATAGAAACCTGGTATTTTTGTAGATTCAACATGATTTCAAGGACCAACTCAGAAACTTGGCCTGTTCTGACTAAAAATACACCATACAAAGTCATTCTTGGCAAGTACTGAAGACATGAACCAACAGTTTGAGAAAACAAGAATTCACAACCATGATCGCATTATTTCACATCTGCAAAAAACACCACAAACGTCCACCAAGTTTGGTGTGATAACGGAAATGCTGCACCAAATTCAGTCTGACTTTTAGAGTTTGAAGGAACGAAGAAAAAAAAAACATGAAACAAGCAGCTATGCCTGTTTGAGGGGCCATAGAACTTCATGTTATACTGGTCGTATGGTCATTTTGAAATGGGACAGGCACCAGGAATTTGAAAAATCTCATCAACTTTGTTACTGCAAACTTACAAATTTCATCATATGAAAGGAAGCATCTTCAATTCTTCTGGAAAACTGTGACATCACTGAACAATCAGAAACAACTTGAGATACATTTTTTAGGAATGAAAATTAGATTTTTCAAATTGCAAGTGTCTTCCCAAACGTGAACTGACCATACAGTGTGACACGGTCCTGTACAACACTACAACAGAGACGTACAGGTCTACACCTACATGTACACAGAACTGCTATGACAACAGGTAGGCGTTACCTGTTGTCTGAAAGTCAGTATACTGGTAATTCCCTGCATAACAGTTGGGAAAATGACAAGTCTCATTGTGGTACTGGACAAATATTATATGGTTAGTTCTTACAAACACCGGATACTCCACAAACAACAGTGCATATCTTCATTACAAGATTGTCTTCTCCTCAGACCTGCTATAACAAAATCAACTTAAAGTAGACTTACCACGCTACAAACAACACCAATATTGGATTGTTTTTGTCTATGTCAGGACCAGCATATGAAGCAACTGAACAGAGGTTGTTTAACCAAAGATAATCAATTAGCTTTTTTTAAACTATCTTTCAGAACTACAAATCCAAGCATAAAAAGTTTTCTAGCAACATGGAAGTGTCTTCTTATCAATTCAATTGTTTCTGTACAAACTGTCACAACGGGCATCAACAGATTGCTTTTCATATTTCTTACAAAAAACTTTTCAAAGGATCCCATTTCAAAAAGTAACAATTTGTTTGAAATATTGCTAATGGCCTTTCATGAGGTCAAGTATAACTTAATGATAAATTTTCGAACAAACATTAAAAAAAAGGAACAAAATCATATAAAAGAACAAAGGAAAACAGTTTTCTTTTTCAAGCCCAAGTCACATCATCCCAACTGTTATGCTAACTGGAAATGAGTATGGGACTACGATGGAAAGTGACCATGCATGGGCACAAATTTAGAATGACTTTTTCCCATGACAGTATCTTATATTCAACTATGTTTCAAATATGTCTCTCCGGAATCTGCCATCAACATTTCCCCCTGAAATGAACTGTTGTCTGGAGTTCCTAAGCTCCTAGCCTGACCACATCACACTTTTAGCTGCTCTACCACTGGCCAGGCCTCTAGGAGCTTCATGGCCAACACCTCTAAGTCAGAAGAATTGGGAACTTTCTTAGTCATGTTGATTAATGCATTGGATTTGTATGAACAAGGACTTGAGCTCTTATTGGACTGATTTTTATGGTGATCAAGAACACTGAGCTCCTATTGGTAGTTCTGGGAATGGTTCTCTCGAGTTAGAGGTGTATGGCCACTCAAGCTCTTGGCCCAATCAGCCACTGGCAGTGAGAGATTGTGTAACACAGTGGTGTGTTATTTAGAAGGACGTACCATCTATGGCAGAAGCTGCACTGATTGTTCTCAGGGCGGTTTCACACCATTTGGTGAAGTCATCAGCGGCATAGTTGGCTTGGAAGAGCTTACGGACATTTTCCTGAAAGACATGCGGCATTCATGGTTACTGTACAATATACAGATAGAAATATCCCAGGTGATGCATTCCATGAAAGAAATGGAGGGGCAACGTCATGAAATGGTTCTAAACGAGCTTGATGCAGTGAGTGAATGAGTGTGGTCACTGTAACAACATTTTTTTCACATTCCTTAATGAATACACATTTAATTTCAGTTCTTACAGGGTTCATTTACAAACTTTAAAAAGATTAGGTACAATAGATCACAAATAGACATACCTCCTCCCTCATTCGACTGGATTTACTATTAGACTTTGAATTCATCATTGCACCTTGGGCATATGGATCACTGGAAGGAAAAAGAGGAAAATTTAGGTAAGTCGACAACAGAGATCGAACACTTTTACTTCTGCTGTTTGCAGAATGTGATGCATAGCATTGAGTCTGTATTTGTTTTGCTAGTTTTTATTTTTCAATCTCAAAGCAAGAAGGACTTCTTGAAACCAACGAAACATGTCCAAAGATGTAGTAATGCAGGTTGAAGTAAGATCGTCAGACTTCTGAGCAGTAAGTGGTTTTGGAACCAAGAAGAACCAGTGAGAGGTAGCACACTTTCAGGACTGGCAAAATCAGGTCGTATTTGTCTGTAAGTTAAGCACTAACCAATCTAGCTGTGACAAGTCCTGATCCATGGGTTGCGGAATGGGAACGGAACTTTTTCTGCAATAATGCAAAATGTACATGTGGTAAAAAAAAGCACCAAATGAACGTCAAACTGGCTTTAAGACATTTTGAGTGACATTATTTTTTCTCTGCAGTTTCTCTTGAACACCTTCAGGAGCAAGTCAAAATGCCGTACATAATATCTTAACTTTACATACTGATCAGATGTGTTTTGAAACTTCTGACACTACACAAGACAACATGGTGCAAGGATGTACCTAGCTTTACATCAGAAAATATTCTTCATCAGGTTGGTGAATGAGTGAATATCAAAGTTATCTATTCACGACTACTTGTTACAAGAGGGCATTTCGATGACCATCATTCTGTCATCATTGTGCACTGAAGCTAGGTGTAACTAGTTCATTGTGCACTGAAGCTAGGTGTTGCTTGTTCTCTGCGCACTGAGGCTAGGTATCCCTGGTTTACTGGGCACTGAAGCAAGTGTTACTGGTTCACAGTGCACTGAAGCTAGGTGTTACTGGTTCGCAGTGCACTGAAGCTAGTAGTACTGGTTCACAGTGCACTGAAGGCACTAACAGTGTGGTACCAAACGTACCTAGGTTTGTTGGAGGAGGACATCTCGTGGGCGGCCTCGTCCCAGAAGCCACCCTTGCTGGACTGGGAGCTGGGGTCTCCCCACACACTGGTGCCGTCACTGCCCCAGGCTGTGGCCGCTGCTGTGTTGGTGTTACCCCACACAGACGCAGCACCCAGGCTTAGGTTGGCCTGTTCAACATCATACAGTTAGGAGAAGTGGCATGGCTTTTGTCTTTATTGTCTTCACTGAGATACTCTTTAGCCTGATGGCCAGGGTTTAGATTACACAGAACTTTAAACAAATAATCTAACATACTTATAACAAATTACGTGGTAAAGGAACACACATAATGGTTCGAAATGAAATTTACGTTATTAAGAAATGAAATGAACATTCGAACTAATTTCAGTGTTCCAAAGGTTGACCGCCGGGTACAGAAATGTTCTCTTTTTACTTTTTGGATTTTGGTAGCACAGACTACACCTTGTCAAGTCAAGTAGCATTCTATATGTACAATATGGCATAAGAAGGAAGCAGGCCTCTCACGTGTGGTTTTTGTTGTTGCTGCTGTTTGGCCAGCTGTCGAGCCTGTTCCTGTTGGATCTCCAGGAAGGATTTGCCGGAACCCGAGGGGCCCCTGCCGGAGAAAAAAGACGCGTCCTGTCTACTTAGACAGGAGGACAAGACTGAGACCAGAACAGGGAGCCAGCCAAGAGGCCCAGCTTTGGCTTACAGGCACACGTTCATCCCATACTACAGCCTTCTGTCTCCTAGTACATTTGTTCTTCTATAGCAGAAGATGCCATAAGTTGTAACTTCTACAAATGTTGTAAAATAAAGTTTACCTCTGTATTGCAGGAGCACACTGACAGATACATTTACACATAAGAATTGAAAGTGAAAGACAAATGCATGTTTCCATATGACAGCATATTAGTTGAATGTGCAGTATAGTTTAAAAGCCTCAATAGATAAAATTACCTCATATCTTCTTGTTGCTATCTATACCTGCATGTTTTGTTCCTCACTAGGAGCATCCACAATATTTGAACTACTATATACCACTTGCATATGAACGATCGTTTGGGTGTTTCTTTGTGTGGTTAAGGGGTTAGAGGAGTTCCTATTTCCCCTTGTCCAAATGAAGTCTGGATTATCAGAAAATATCATGAGGAAGTTGCACTTTTCCTGCCAGACTCACCCTGCTGCCCAGCTGCCAGGGTTCATCTTCTGCTGCTGCTGCTGCTGTTGCTGCTGCTGCTGGATCTGCTGACTGGCAGTCATCTGTTTCTGACGCTGAGGGGGAAAAAGACATCCCTAATGCTTTCAAAACAAGTTGTGGGGAACCATCTACTGGTGATGCATGTGTCTTTCATAAAGCTACTGCATATTGAGAGAATATATTGTATATGTTACAGAACAGACACACATCACAAAATCAGCTGAACGCTTTTGTTTTTGCAATCTTGCATCATGTAAAGCATCTTGAGTGCATGATGTCATCCTGAAATCGAGTCGGCATGGCTTGAGCAACAGGGCCTTTAACTGACAGACCCTTAAAGACAAACCCTGGGAGGATGTAAGTTGTAAGAAACTCCTCACCTCTTCCCTCTGCTTCCTCTCCTTCTCCTCCTGCATCTGCTGAATCTGGGCAAGAGATGGCACGGTGGACGGGGCCGAGCTGGTCTGCTGGGCCCACAGGGAATGCTGGGACAGCTGCAGGAAATAGACATACAGTCAAACTTAACCAAGTGAGAACCCTGCAGCCTAAATCACAGCATAGGGGGGCCAAAATTACAGCATATTTAGAGCCCCTGCACTCAAACTATGCCTGTTTAGAACCCAGATCTCTCCTGTGCCTTTTCGCAAGGTCTGGTTGGTTCTTTAACGTGCGTGGGGTGTAGCTCTCCCCAAACCAAAGGGATTAGGGATGCCACTAACCAAAGCTAGGTACTCATTTCCACCTTAATGAAGTGAGGAACATTGTGATTCAAAAACCTCATTTTCCCAGTAGCAGAGATATTTCCACTTGTGAGAAACATGCTAAAGTTTCCCGTGTGCCTTACCAGGTTGGAACAACATTTAAACTATGCCAGTTGGAACCCTAGTCTCCCATGTGCCTTACCAGTTTGGAACAACAGTTAAACTATGCCTGCTAGAACCCTGGTCTCCCGTGTGCCTTACCAGGTTGGCGTTCTGCATCTGTTGTCTCTGCTGTTCCTGGAGCCGACGCAGGGCCTCCTGCTGCTGTCTCTGCTGGTCCCGCTGCCTCTGCAGCTCCTGCTGACGGGCCAGCTCCTGGCGCTGAAGCTCCTGCTGTCTCTGTAGCTCCTGCTGTCTCTGCAACTCCTGAGAATAGACAGCAGTTTACTTTTTAGTTGATTGTCATGTATAGGTAACACTTTCATGCGACATGTAATTCCTCAAATCTTTTTTTTTAATACTGTATGATAAATGTGATTGTAAATGTCTGTTTCTGTACCTGTATGTAATTGGTGTAGGAGCCCTGGAAGGTTAGCAAAAGGGCATCCCAATCAACTGAAACTGAATTCATTTTGGCTGAAGATAGAGCCATGCTGTCAAACTAGCATGGGGCTATCATTAAGGGCAGACCTTGAGGCTAATACAAGATGTGCCTGCCAAATGTTTCAAAATGTTTTTAAAATTTGGTGTGTGGTTTGTGTTCTGGGGTAGATCTACAGTGTTCAGGGCACTTTTGGAGGTTAAGTTTGACTCAAATTTAACTAAAAATTAGATTCAAAATAAGGTAGGCGTGGCATAAATCTGGTCAGACTGCTCCCGAACTTCAGCCAACCTAGGTTGGCCTGTTGGTTGGGGGAAGGTTCTGAATGTGTGACAGGCTTTACATGAAAAACATCTCTTCTCCCCAAGACAGAAATATTTCAGACTGTCCCTCCATCAGGACTTACCTGCTGCCTTTGCATTTCCTTTTGTTGTTGCCTCTCCATTTCTTTTTGGCGCTCGATTTCGCGTGCTCTCTCCATCTCCCTCTGCCGCTCAATTTCCTCTCGTTTCCTGCGTTCTTCTTCCTCCCTTTTTCTTCTCTCTTCCTCCTCCTTCTGTCTGCGAACGGCCTCTTGTCTCTGCAAGCCAGAAAGTAAACCTAAAAGTTAATGTGGTGTATAGTCTATGGCCAAGGAAACTGTTGTTTCGAACTTCAATTTTGAAAAAAAAATAGGGTCAATGAAGGAAATTCTCTTTTTTTTCTCATTAGATTTAAAAAAGCTACCGTTGTCACAAAAAAGATAGGATTGTCAGGTTTTTTCTAAGTTGGTAGAACACCAATTCTTTTGTAAGTCCCTTTGTAATTCTGTAAATTGTGAATGTTCTTGCAAAAATTCTGCTATGTATATTTTCTGTCATTGTTTCTGACCTGTAATTCCAGCTCCTGCTGCCTCCTGAGTTCGTCTGTCTTCCTTCTCTCTTCTTCCTCCCGTCTCCGCCGACTGTCGTCCTCCTTTTCCTTCTGTAGACGAAGCTCCGCTTCTCTGCGATCCTTTTCCTCCTACATTTCATGAAATAAAAAATTTGGAATTTGTTGTTTTCTATCTACAAATTGCTACATTTATAGCCACTTCTTCTTTTGTACTGCTAAGGTCAATAATGATTGGGTCATAAGCAGTTGTGCATACATACAAAACAAGTAACCAGTACAAGTAATCAAGGGGAAATAGAGGTAAAGCCACTTCATAGGGGGAAGTGTCTTCAACCCGCAAACCTTCTCTTTTTCCATTATTCCTAAATCGTCCATGGAATGCAACCAAAAAATCCAGGTTACGCCATATTTAGAAAAGAAACTTTTCTGTCACTGTTGTACTTTATTGCTGAAATGAATTTAAAAAATACCTTCTCTCTTTCCATTCTCTGAATGTCGTCCATGGAAGGTGCTGAGGATTTGGGCGGGTCCAGGTCCCACACACTCCCGCCCTCCATCCAGCCGCCGGCCGGGGCGTTGGGCTGGCCCCAGATGGCCGTGCCCTTGTCCGGTGAGGACGGGCGACCACGCGGGGGCTGGGGCTGAGGGGTGGGGGTGGGCTGGGGAGGGAGCTCCGCTGTGGGAGATCTGCAGACATTCAGGAACAGAGAAACTGTTGTCAGCATGGAAATCAGCTTGAAATACAGAGCTATCAAAGCAAAAGAAAAGAAAGCTACCAGGAGACCCAAAATGATTAGATTGGGGGACCATTGGTGGTTTTCCTTTTGTATTGTTTATCAAATATGACAGGACCTGTTATCAGCATAAAAAATATCTTTAGTGAAACAATACAGACCTTACACTCAAAGTCATGAAAACAGAACCTGACCCAAGCTAGGTACTCGTGACCACCTGAGTTAAGTGAGGAAAGTCGTGTTAAGTGCCTTTCCCAAAAGATCAGTGACATGGCAGGATTCAAACCCTGGACCTCTTGGTACTTAGCCGAACACTCCGCCATTATGCCACACGACCCCACAGTAGAGGGGAGGCTATACCAGCTATACAGATACAGAGGATGACTGACCTGTCCTGGGAAGACTGCTGTTTTCTCTGGTGCTGCAGCATCTGCTGCTGTAGTTGCTGGTACTGCTGCTGGAGTTGGGTCTGCTGCTGCTTGAACAGGGTCTGCAGGGAGATCAACAGCCTGGTTAACTTGCGCCCCCTAGCAGCCCTCAAAATCATTGCAGCACTTATGCTGATGAAGGTTAGAGTTAGACACCCAGGTACTGAGATACACAAGAAAACTGTTCCTCAAGCAACTGTATACATTTTGGAAACTGTCAGACTGCTCCCAAGCTGGTTGGTAGTCGGGGGAAAGTCCTGAATGTTTGACAGGAGCTTAAATCTTACATTAAATTCAAAACCAAGCCGCCCTAAGAATACAAGAGTGCGATATATACATAATTGTTGCCAAGCAAAACAACAACATTAATACTTGGCTGTGTAAAATGAGGCTCTTTATTCAGTGACTTACCAACCTGATGAAACTATTCACAGATGTGAGTCAAGGTTACTGACCTGTAACTGCTGCTGTTGTTAGAAGTATAGACATGAGGACCGTACTTTTGTTTAGTGTGGAAAGCTGTGGTGGTGCCTGACCTGTAACTGCTGCTGTTGCTGCTGCAGGGCGACCATCTGCCTCTGGACGTGCTGCTGCAGCCCGATGTTCCCCATCGTCTCCGGCTGCTTCAACTGCTGCTGCAGCTGCTGAGACTGCGCCCTGCTCAAACACAAAACACACTGTCAGGTGCTTTACAGTACTTCTTGTGTCAGCTACAACAGTTGAATGCAATGTTGCTTCCCTAAGGCTTGCGTATTTAGCAAGGCATACCATATCACCCTACTCTTCTCGATAAGTGTTGGCTTCTTTCATTAAAGAGAGATTTGTAGCTACAAAATCCCTCATACACAGGCCCGTCAATTTCAGTGCTGAAAATAGTGGACTAAAAGAGTTTGAACAACAGTCACAGTTACTGGATTCTGAGTTATCAAACCAATGCCATGAACATTAGAGCAAAATTTGTGCTGAAGAAAACATGAACACTGGTCATAACACAATCTTGAAATGTGGCTCATAACAAATCACAACATTTTAAGTTGATAAAATCTACACCATCTGAAGTGATAGATGTTGTAACGAACCGTATAAACCCAGTCTGCTGCATGTACAGCATCTGCTGCTGCATGAGCTGCTGCTGCAGGTACTGCTGCTTCATCATGTGCTGCTCCAGGACAGACGCGTCGATGGCCGGGGACGACGACGCAACCGTCGCAGCCACAGAGGGGTTAGATGAGGTCACCGCCGTGGAAGAGGCCGAGCTGGCTGCTGGGTTGTTCTGTTCAAGTTGTATGAAAAAAACACTTGTTAGGAGAATTTTCCCAGTTCTACCCACTAACCCATGATAAAGACTGCTTTCTGTGCTTAGCAATCAGCATTGAGGAAAGAGTATGGGAGTTAAAAGACACACTAGTGATCACTACCAGTGGACTCGCCCCTTACTGCAGTCATTGCACAACTGTGTGGCCAAGGGCATACAGAAACGGCCATAGGCATTGTCCTGTACACCAATTACAGGTGCAGAGAGGAACTTTGGCATGAGAAAAATACAAACTGTCAAAGTGTATGTTATGGAGCCAAAATATGTGTTCTACCTTCCAACACCGTTCCCTTGGCACAGTGGATTAACGACTCACTATTCCTACGGCTGTACAGCCCAAAATGTATAGAACCTTTACCTTTCAACTTTCAACAGAAGAACAGAGTGATTGGTTTTCAACCTACCAACAAGGGCGGCGGGGTGGGTCCAGGCATGAAAGGCACTCTTCCCCATCTCTTGATGAGTTCTCCTAGTGGCTGGAACCGCTCGTCACATGCCCGCCGCACCAGCAGGGTCATGGTGAAGTAGCCGGCAGTAAACCACTCCGCCATCTCCTGTGAGCTGAAGGGACCTGTAAGGAACACGGGGACCCTCTCAACATCATGGTACAGTCCAAACAGCAAAGGGAGGCTCTGAACAAAATGGTACAGTCCAAACAGCCAAGGGGGAGGCTCTCAAGAAAATGGTACATTCCAAACAGTATAGGGAATGGAGGATTTTTTTTTTAGATTTGAACTGCCATTTTTACATTCATCTAAATGTTGTACTGCATCCATGTTGTACTGTGGTTTTACTCAAAGAATAGCATGAAGTTCTTCAAAGCTTAAAGATGCAACTCAATTCACCTAAAAACACATCAAAGCAAACTTGATGATTTTACAACAGAAGCAAAATACTTCTTGTCACAGTTCCTTTGTAAAGACTGAGCAGTTCGATCAGGATGAGAGTGGCTGCATGTCTGCCCAATTTTTGTTATTTTTAATGGTTTCACTTTTCTTTTTGACAGAGGTGGTCTGGATAAGCGTTATGAGGTTGGTCTACGGGTTTGTCCAGAGATCCTTACCTTGTATTTCTCCTTGTGGATCCTTGTAAAACCATTTGTTGGCAGTCTCTTGTGTCATGGGTAGGCCCTTTGGTTGACTAGAAGTATCTTCTAACTTTTCATCATCTTCTGCTGTCATTGTTGCTACAAGGCTCTCTGCAGCCTGGAGGAGAGGGAACAATTTTAAACTTCATGATGGTGACAGTGAGTGGAGCTTCTATTGAAATCTCCCAGTAAACTTTAAGGTTACCAGCCCTCCAACTGTCCTGCCACTTGCTGCATAATGTAACCCAACCAACACCGCAGGGCATTAGCTACAGCACCAGTTACCATGGTGACAGCCGTCTGGTCCAAGTCACTCAGGAAACAGAACAGACACTATGTATTCCTTCTGTGGAGTTCAAGGTGACCAGCCCCTACAAGTGTTCTGCCACTAACTGACTTGCTACATAATGTAATCCAACTTCACAGGGCGTCTGCTAAAGCACAAGTTACCATGGTGACAGCCATCTGATCTAAGTCATTGACCTTATTTATTTGGAGAAGAAGCAAGAGAGCAAAAAACAGTATGTTTTCCTTGCAAACTTTAAGGTAATAAAGTAATTTAATACTAAAAACTTAATCATGAAACAAGAACTTACCTTTTCTATCTGAATGTCTAGAGCCTCATCGTCTACTACTGGTGCAGTATTGCTTGTAGGGACTGTAATACCTGCCGCCGAGCTGACAGGATTCTCCGTCACACTCACCATCACCTGCCACAGGAACACACAAACCACAGCTCAGAAAAGGACAAGAAACAACAACTAAACAGGATCTGAAGGTTCTGAGTTCGAATCCCTGGTAGGCTCCAGGGTAGTGTCTTTCGGAAAGGCACTTACACCTATTTCCTCTGGTGAAAATGTGACTCAGGTGAAAATGAGTACCTAGCTTCAGTTGGGGACATCCTCTCAGATATTACGTAAAGCGGAGATCCTGTGTTCGAAAAAAGCCACACCTCAAACATGTCAAAGAAAATAAGGTTTAGTTTGAATATAAGGGAAAAAAAACATGCCCTGACCTGTGAGTTAGCTGCCTGAGATGAAGGGGGGTTGGGAGTCATTGCACTTTCCTGAGTCCTGGGGGGTGGCTGAGAAGGGGGCCGGGGGGAGGGCTGAGAGGGGGGACGAGGGGATTGGCTATTTACAACAGGGGGGGCAGACATGGGCATCTCTCGGGGAGGGGGGGAGGGCTCCTTGGAGGGCATGGGGATGGGTTCTGGGATAGGCTTGCTCTCGGGAGGTGGCTGCCTGGTGGAGGCTGGAGCCGGCTTCTCTGGCTTCGGCTCTTCTGAAGGACAGTCAACAATACTGAACATTAGTTCATATAGGTTAGACAATTAGATAAACAATACTCCTAACAATACTTCTAACTTTACTACTAAATAATTACATCCATCACTCTTCTTCAGCACTACTAAAATCCAGCAGTCGAGGTTAAATTGTCTATCAATACTAATAGTGACTTCAAACACAAAATCAGGTTCCCCCCCCCCCAACGGCATTTTCATACTGTAAATCCTGAAATGTCTGATGGTGTCATGTTTGTGATTTGTCCCTCCACTTGAAATCATTACTATTTCTTCAATACTATAATGTACGTAGTGTGCCTATTGCATTGAAAATGCTATATTTAATATTGTACAGATCTTAAGTCCTAAAAGTGTTGGTATATTTAGGAGCCCACCTGGTCTGGATGTTTCCATGTGTGGTCTACCACTGTCCTCCAAATCTTCCTCTTCCACTGGTGGTGGCTCGATGGACTGATCTACAGACTGTGAAAAACATTTATTGCATGTTAGGCCCCTGTCACACGTAGCAAAATATAGCCAAACTCACCCCCCCCCCTCAACAATCATTGGTGAATTTCCAACCATTTGCGCACTTCTTTATCGAGATGTTCTATTTGATTTGACTGAAACCCGGGAGACATTTGCAGTACCTCTTGTTTTTCCTCCTCCTGTTTGGCAGCAAGTTCCTCTTCAGCCTCCTCTTCTATTGGCTCTGGCTCCTTTTCTCCCTTCTGCAATGTAAGGTGAAATGTTACCATAGTGTGTAGTAGTGAAGCTAAACAAACTTTATGTACACCTGGAGGCGAGACACGGAGAAGGAGCTGTCTGAACTGGGAATGCACTGGAAGGATGTTGAGAGAGAAGCCCAGAACAGAGCTGGATGGAGGGAAATCGTCGGTGGCCTATGCTCCGCACGGGGCCAAGGGCCCAGGTAAGGTAAGGTAAGGTACACGGGTACAGGTCTAGACCTGTCTTAATGTCTTAGATTGAACTGTCTTGTATAGTCACTGTGGTAAATTGTTGTCCTCATATGAGGGTATACATATTTTCTGATCTCAAACAAGCCTTCCTAATTTCCAACTTCTGAATTGTACCGGTAACCTTTTTTGTCTGTCAAAGAGGACAGACAGGGCAAAATTTTTTGTCCATCTGCTGACTGGAACACTGTGTTCTTGATTGTGACAAGACATGGACAGTTACCTAGGTTATATTTATTGTAGTGCTTTTAAGACAGTACATGCTTTGTATGTATTGATGATTGTAAAGACTAAATGTATTTTGAAGTAAAATAATGTATGATATACATAGCAATTCACTGCCTGTGTACCATGTGCATTGTTGTGTTTCTATGTACTAAACCATTACCTTAAGGGAAACAAAGGCCCCGGACGAATCAAACGTCCCCACGCCGTCTGTTTCAATACTGTCGTCCATGCACCAATCAGGGAGGTCCTCTTTGTCGTCTGCCCAGTCCCCGCTGTGCGACCGCTGCCGGCCCCCGCTGAAGTGCCGCTCGCGACCAGACCGGAAATCGAAGTCGAAGTGCCGTTCTCTCTCCCCGCGCCCGTTGAAGTCCCGCCAACCGGCGCTTCTTGGTCCACCTATGAAATCACCAGGAGGAGGCTTAGCTACCCCTTGAACAAAATAAGCAGTTTGTAATACTTTTACAGATAAAAAGTAGTTAAGCATGAAATACCCTTAACCAGTGTTCTAGCCAATGTCCGTCTTTCCGTCATTTTACGGAATTTTGACACATATGACTGACAAAATTTTGCCCAATTCGTCATCTTTGATGGACAAAAATTGGCATGTAAAGATATGGAAAGAGATGTTATTCAACTAAGCTTAGTTCTACAAGCTTAGTCCAACAGCAAAATTTGCCCTTTAAAATAAAAGAAGTAGCATTTAAGAGGGCCAAAATTTACCATATCCCACTAGGATTATCCCACTTCGGTGCTTGACATGAATGTTATGACTAACAAAATTGAGATGACAGAAAAAAATTCAGGCTGACTAGAACACTGGAGATGGAGCAGCATTATTCGACTGTTTAGGGAGAACCCCATGGCCATCAAAAAAATAACACCTGAAATGCCTCCAACCAAAGAGTGGACCTACCAGGGCTCATCTGTTTCCATCTCTCCGACCCTCTGTGTCCCGCCGACCGCCAACCGCCCTCATCATCCTCGTCTTCCCGCTCTCGGTCGAGTGCGCGGTCGCGATCTCTGGCCCGCCAGTTGTCACTATTTGATCCTCTACTGAATTCGAATTTCCGCGGTGAGGGCGGCCCCCCTTCCTCAAATGACCGACCAACTGTGGAAAACATGTCAAGCTCTGGATCAGAGGATAGGAGGGCGGCAGGACAAGAGGAAAGGAAGGCAAACAAACAAACAAACAAACAAAAAGTTTTAGGCGTGACATGTACATGACAAAAATAACATGAAATTCAGCAAATTACTTCTAACCGTTGTGGGGGGATTTACAGAATGAAAGAAATGGTATGTTTACTACCATATGCCATAAAGTCTGTTTTAAACAAATTTGATAACCAATTAAGAGCAGCTAATACATTTTCAAACCAGCAAAGTAACAGTTGCAAAGGAAATGCATAATGTTTATCATCACATGGTCTAGCCTAACACACAGTTACTACTGCTCTATTTAATTACATGTACACTCAAACACATTCATAATCATATATGTGGTGAGTCTGGTGACCAATGTAATAATAATAATAATGTAACCAAACAGGTTATCTGCTACAGCACCAGTTACCGTGGTAACAGGCATCTGGTCCAGGTCATTGACCTTATGTGTTTGGAGAAGAGGAAGAAGAAACACTGCAAAAACATTATGTTTTCCTTCTGCAAAGGCAAATATAACAACTCACCCATAGGAGGTCTCTTGTCAAATCTTCTGTCCCCACCCCTGAAATGGAGATTGTCAACATCAGATCTGATGTTGGGAGAAACAGAAGGGGGGGTTACACCGGGAACATGCTGCCACCAAGCACAAGTCACTACACTTTAACTAGAATAGCAGCTAGGAAGCCATCCATCCATTCATTCATCTATTTATCTGATAGAGCAAAGCCTGAGAGAGCAAGAGAGCAAATTCTTTCATTGCAGTATTGTTTTTTGATAGGGCTGTGTATCTAAATGTAACATCAGCATCAGATTCTCTTCCGCTTTTTAAGGTTTTCATGTAACTTAGCCATTTGAAATTTCAATAAATAAACATATCAAGTTGAATCAACCCTATCCGATAGCATACTGATATGTGTGAGGCAAAACTTCTATGTTACTTGTTCCGTATTGTTGTCTGGCTCTAGCTGTTTTATTGGTAATACCAAAAGGTAAAGGGACTCCTCACGTAGCTTGTTTGGGGGCTATTTCAAATGCTTCAAGTATGAAATGATAACAAATATATGCTAAGAAAAAGGCAGTGAATATGAGTATAGAACAGAATTTCTCAACCAGGATATAGTTTTACCGCCTTCAAATTGCATTGGATGCCTTTAACCCGCGGATTGTTTCACTAGATGTATACCTACCCTTCATCCCAGCTCTGACTGCGGCTATAACTAGGACGAATGAATCCCCCCGGTCCGTCATCGTCTCCGACTCGATAAAAACCTCCCTCCCCGCGACCTCGCCCTGCGCAAAGAGAGAAAACAAACTCAGCACAAACAAGAGAAGTACTGAATCTATCACACCTTAGATGACTCAACTTTTAACATAAATTATAAATCAAACACCAACCGTATACATTAGCTTTTACATGTTTTTTTAACCAAGTATGTATTGAAATATGTGTATTGATTCGTTAGGATTTTAATTGATGTAAACTTTATCTTTAGGATACATTTTGTCTGACCCTTTTCTCTTCCTTCACGACCTCAATGAAAAGTTGATTTCAGCTTCTCGAGAATAGAGAATGATTCAAACAAATCTCTACTTCAGCCAATAGCGACTGCTTTTGTATGATTTTCTTGTCATTGGTTTATTATGTACATAAACCATTTGTATTCATTGTACTGGATTTGTTTACTGGATTATAATGCGATATAAACAAAAACAAACAAAGAGGGATGTGTCCTGACCTCGTCCACGAGTTCCCCCGCCCCGCACACCTCTGGATGCCCCTCCCCCTCTGCCCATCAGCCGCAGAACGGCTGTGCTGTTCACTGATATCGAGGCATTGCGCTGCAGAAACAACCACAACAAACACTTGTATACAGCTACAATACAGATCTCCATTCACTTCCCGCCACACATATTTTACATGCAGCTTTAACTAGATTATTTCTTGTGCAAAAGTCATTTAAATCGTGATTGAAAGTAAAAGCTAAGTAACACTCATTTAAAACTCGTTCAAAAGTCGTGTAAATTGTCTGCAAAGCTGCAAATGTAAGTGGCAATAAAACAATAAAAAAAGACTAAGGGAAAATGTTGGACTTCTGGTCTTTACCTGTTCCTCCTCTGTAAGAGGGATCAACGCGAGCGGAAGGAGGACATCTTTACTCAAGATGCTCTGGAAGGAGTCTAACTCGGACGGGCAGTCTGTGCAGTACTTCTTCTCGAAGAGTGCGAGCATTTCCTCGCGCCCGTAGCGGTGCTCGGCCAGTTTGTACTTCGGCAGGCCGGGGGAGGGAGGAGGTGAAGTGACACTGTTCCCACTGGAAAGTGCACGAAGCCTGCAACAAAATGACAAATTTATAACAAATTGAGATGATGAAAATATGTCTCAAATTTGAAAAATTTACACTGAACAATGATAAGGAAAAAAATCGGTCTGTAATTTGTTCCATGTGTAGTGTGTTTCCATACGATAAAATGGTTTATTTCAAAAACCACATACAGTACTTCTACATTGATATCTAAACCCAGTACATAGACCAGTGCAGGTAGAAATACCTGCACAACTCAAGTTTTTATTTACCTACACTAAGGTGCTTATGCACCCAGTAATTTGAGCCCTGAATAGACCATAAAAAGAGCTAAGAAAAGTACCACATGACAAAACAACACGTAGTTCAAGAAGAGACAACAACTTACCACTCAGGTCCGAATGTCAGAGTCTCCGACATGATGCTGCATAAAAAAAAAGAAATTATAATTTACTAGTCTTGTCATCACTTCATGTGTTTAATACATGCCTTCCTATACATTGATGACATTCTAGGAGATAACCCTTACTGTGTACATCAAAGAATGTACAAACCTTAGAGAAGTAGGAGTGTAACACTGTAAATGATATGCTAAACTCGTGTGAATTTATCTTGTTGTTACAACAAGATAAATTCACATGAGTTTAGCATGTGTATGTACATTCCATTGCATCTACTACTTTGTAGGTACAGTTGTTGTATGTTGTTCGTTCAGATTTCTGTACATTTCTACTTCTATTATCATCCTTATCAAAAGTGTGAACGTCCAGCACTTCAGTCTATGCCTTGTACATGTACATGTACAGTACAGATCTCGACTAACTTCCCACGTTTCAAACATGGTTTTAAGTTGTTCATTTCTTGTGCAAATGTTGTATAAATGGTGTAAAAATCGCAATCGAAAGTTGTGCAAAACCCATGTAACACGTGGTTAAAACTTGGGCAAAAGTTGTTTTAGATTTCCATATTGGTGTAATTTCATGTGGCTATCTATATTGCATACATGAACACCTACAAGTATTTTAGTTATTTTTACACGAGAAATGAACGTGTAAAGGTTGGCACCATCAAATAACCATTATCCTTACTTGAAAGATACAGTAAGCAAAGGGCTAATTTGGTGGTTTTGTCAGCTATAAAAGGAGTTTACTCCCTCTCTGTCTTCAGCTATTAGAACTACTAGTAATTGGTACCTGACAACTATACCCTAGACTACAGGTCCCAACCACAGCAAAATCAAACATGTTTCAGTTACTACATATATTGTCACGTTTGGCTGAAGTCAAACACACTAGCATCGGGACAGATTTACAATGTTGCTGAGGCATGTACTTTTAATAGGATTAATGGTTAACGAATAGCTGTGGTAACAAAGGGCACTCCAACCTGTCAAAGGTCTTGTTGCTGATGACAGCAGTTTTCCACTTGTTTGCAAAACTGTGTGTACCACACTGGCGTTTATCTATCTATCAATCAATCAACCTTTCATGTTCGCCCTATTGCTAAACTTTGACCAGAAAGAAACCTATGTTTACTTAGATCACTATCTTTGAAACAATCTTAATTGATACTAAAACCTGTTTTTGTATGATGTACAAGCTTGGGTATATCTTTACAGACAGGTTATCAATATCAAAATTGGGAAATTGCTTTTAACAAAACATCTATACATCTTGTATATTTTGCACTTGCAAAATGTGAGTGCACATATTGCACAATAATACCACATCATGTTTACATGAGCTTTGGATACAAAACAACAGTATTTTTACAATTATGTAGTGATTCAAACTTTTCAACAAATACAGTTTACAGGCAAACAAAACCTCTTATCCATAAAATTTCTTACCGTGTAGCATTGTAGAGGATTTGATGTCCAACTCAAACAACAGGTTAAGCTAAAACTTCTACAGCGAACTATGTACACAGCTTGCTAAAAAAAAACACCTAATGCTATTGCCTGTTGGACAAAGATTCCTATACACTAATACAGTTCAGAAAGGTTTTTGCATTATTTCAGCTCACCTACGCTTTATATTTAGAGGTGAAAGTAGTCCATGTAAACTTAGGTGCATCAACTCATTCTAATTCTAATTCATGACAAACAAGACCAAACAATGGTTGGATTTTACCATTTGTATACTAACAGTTCACACAAATGACACAGTATTGTCAAGTTCTCTACAAATTCCAGTGCTGGCCATTGTGATTCATGAGGACCATTATAGTGTTAACTTGTGAATTGTTTGTTGTCATCTGCATACCTGTACATCCTGGAGCATTGTAGTAGTGACATGTTGTTTTCAATATTCTCCTATTTATTTGCTTAACATCCAACATTAGGACTATCATACCTGCATGCTTTCTTAGGGTTAAAGTACACATAGGTGTTGTCACAAAAAATACAACTTCGGATTTGGTCATGGGTGATATTTACCTGTTCTACCATCTGAAACTTGACATGCCAAAATAAGAGGAGTGAAAATGATTAAAAAAATGAAACAGTATAGATACTCAGCGTATTAAAGGCAATCTACGTGGAATTTTAAAACATTTGTATGAGGAAAACTTATCAAATTCGAAGCTCACCACACGCGAAAACAGTTCACGTTGTTGATGCTTTTCACCTGAATGCAGACGCCCCTTATCCGGATTTCTGTACCTAGAACCCTTTTCCGGGTATCTACAACATCTGGCTGTACAAAACTAGGTCTCAGGTAGGAAGGCATGGAGTCATATGTGCCATGTATCACAGAATACACCTCAGATAGTTGGTGGAAGTTACATAATTTCTGGGAGGATCCATGCCCTGCCCACCCTCCCATGATCGGTCATCTTCTACCATCGAAAACTGGGACAGTCGCGTACCTGACCCAGACGTTTCATGATAATTTGTCACAGCCTAGAATAAAGTGTCTATAAATCATGGTCACTCTAGGACTCTGTCTGGTCACGATTCACAGAGATCCGAAGTTTGGATTTTGAAGAAGAGCGAAATCCAAAATATTTC